AGGGACCTGAATCAAGGGAACCCAGCAGTGTGGGAGGAGGTAGCTGAGGACAGGGCACCCAAGCGTGTCAGGAGGAGGTGGGACCCAGCGGTGTGGGGAGGTGGCCCAGGACAGGGGGACCTCGGATTGTAGGCAGAACCTGGAGAACCACGAGACACTTCAGTTGGGGCAGACCCAGGCTGAGTTCCCAGGGAGGGGCACTTGGAACTGCAGTGACCTGGGAGAGGCCAGTCCCCACCCAAGGCCTGAGAGAGTCTGGGCCCAGGGAGGGGCACCCAGACCTGTGCCCTGCAGCCTTGGGCCTGCCCATCATGGCAACGCAGAAGGCTCCCCTCCTCACAGGTGATTCTGAGAGTCACGGGAGTGGGCAGGAAGTGGTCCTCCCTCCAGCCCAAGGTCTGGGCCACCAGGCTTTGTACCCAGAAACTCACACTTCCCCTCCCCCCGGACCTCTGACCTGGGCCCTCTGAGAATCGGGCTGAGAAGGACAGTGGCCAGGTGAAGGCCAAGGTCTCTGGGTGTTCTCGGCATCTCCTGCTACTCTGCCGCTGGCACTGCCCTCCCTGCCCCTCACCCCACTCTGCGCTGGTCCAAGTTGGCCCCTCCTTTTGAAGGTGAACATGTTCTCCCTTTGGAGCCAGACCTGGTCCTCACTGCCTGTCACAGCCTTGTTCATGTCCCCCTCCCCCAGAGGGGGAATCCCAGTCACAGAACCCACCCCCTCAGCTGAAAAAGCACGTGCTGCCAAGGAGAAGTTGGGGCCCGGTCTGCGATCTCCCTCCACCACTGGGATGAGGGGAGGGCATGAGAGGCTGCAGCCTGTTCCATCCTCAGCCCCCGAAGGGCACCAGAGGGGCCCCAGGCAGGAGGCCGTGCATTGTTCTGGAACCAGGGATGTGTTCAAGGACATTTGGTCTCACTTGACCCTTCTGGAACCTACTCCCCTGCCCCCTGGGCAGGGCACGCTCCTGGCCTGTCCTGGGTTCTCGGGAGAACCAGCTTTCAGGAGAGCCAGAATGGTCCTCTCACCCAGCCACCTCTGATGGTGCCAGTGGAGGCCCAGCCAAGGACCTGGAGAGCAGGGAGGGCGCGAGCATGTTGGGTAGCGCAGGGGTGGCCACAGTGAAAACGTCCCTTTCCTGGGGTGTTGGGGGCTGCAGTCCAAGCAGGAGGGGTGCAGAGCTGAGAGGAGCATTGGTCTTGAGCAGCGCCAGAGCCATGTGGGACAGAGGCCTATGACAGAAGGACTGCGGCCCAGCTCCACAGGAGCCTGGCATCCACCCACCACTGCCTGCCGCTGCCTGTGTCCACCCTAGACCCTGCTCAGAGCCTTGACGTCCACTTCGCTGCCACCTATGATCACTGTGGGCCCTCTCGCCTGCATGGGAGTCCAGGCTGTGGAGTAAAAGGCAGAGCACCCATCTAAGCGGCATGCCTGGGCCAGGCACCTAGGGATGGAACCAGCAAGGGCCCTGGGCCCAGACCTCAGGCAGCAGGGCCTGCTTCCCCCTGTCTGGCGGACCCCAGGGGTTCACCATAGGGAGGAATCCAGTGGGTGTACTTGGGGGAGGGTTGGGAGGGGTTTTCCACAGGCAGGCAGGATCCCTGTCAGAAGGGGCAGGAGGGCCTCAAGGCCCCTTGGCGAGCCTTGGCATGAAAGAAGATGGGGGTTGGAAAACTGTTTCTGGAAACAAGAGACACAGCCCAAGGCCCTGGCAGGGCAAACGCCTCACACTAAACAGCTCCTCCCGTTCCTGGGTGTTTGAGAGTCGGGTGCCCAGCCTGGACCTGCGGTGACCAAGGAGGGCCGATCTGCAGACACCAAGACTTCCTGTATCTGTGACTGGGCCTCCTGGGGGCGTCTCAACTGTAGACTCCTTCCAGCGGTGGTCCCTGGCTCCTAGAAGCCTACCCAGTCACCTTTCGCCCAGCCTTCAAACACGTCAGAGGGTTAACCATTCATGGCCACGCTGAACACTGCTCACAAGATCCGGAAACAAGAACAGGGGGTCAGACTGGATTCCTGAGATGCAAGAACCGCCAGGAAGCGCCTTGCTGCCTTCATGCATGGACGAGACCTGGGCCTCTCCATGGGAGGACAGGCTGCTGCAGCCTCCAGGGAGCACCCGCTCTTGGGCATGGAGAGTGGGGAGAACTGCCTGCTAGAGACGGCGGAGGGGGTCAGGAGCAGCCGGAGTGCTTCCGGCCTCTGGCCACAGAAAACCCAGGCAGGGACCTGTCTTCAAGCTCCTCCTGTTGCTAAGCCGACCTGCACAGCAGGACTTGGGAGCCCAGCCCAGCTTCTCTCAGGAGGGGCTTGGCCCCAAAGCTTCTGCGTGGCTCGTTGAGGGCTCACTAGAGACACCTGCAGCTCCTTGAGAGAAAGCAGGACCAGTCCAGCGGCCATGGTGGAAACCACAGGAGGGGCCGAGGGGAGGCGGGTGGGTGCCTGGCATGCTATGCATAGTACCACACGTGTCATGGAGACTGTCCCAAGAGCCCCGGGGCCCAGGGACTCCCCCAAGCACTGAGCAGTGTGAACCCTTGTGTACCCTCCTTGGCCAGGGCCCAGTGAATGGGGCCCAGTGAGAAGGGGGTGGGTGAGGAATGGGGCCCCAGTGTCCTGTTGACCCTGGAGCCTTTGGAGTCAGTTAAGTCTGAATGGGAGGTCTACACCACGGTCCTTACCCAACCTTCCTAGTGCTGAGTCCTGAAGCTTGTGTGGTGGGTGTGTGTAGAGCTGACCTCCTCCCTACAGCCCTGCTGGACTCTGAAGAGTGCCAAGGCCAGTGGGTAGGAGACAGGCCTGGAGCTGGTGCAGAGAGGAATGAGCCCTGCATGGGTTTGATCAGAAACTCAGCCTCGAGTAGGGACACTCTGGGGCCCGGTGCTGTCCATGCATGACCTGACAGAAGCGCAGAGCCGCTCTTTCTATGGAGGAGCGCCTGATGGGGGTGGGAGCTAGGCAGAGATCTGCATGCATGCCGAGGAGCCAGACTTCAAGCCGGGCTGGGGGACCCCCGAGCGGGGCCATCTTCCCTTCTGCACCTGGCTCTGGTGTCTTCCCGCTGCGGACCCAGTGCCCTGCTCACCCACCACGTTCATACGCTGGAGTCCTGGGTCCTCAGAGATCCGTGACACTGCCCCGTCCCCAACTTCAAATTCTCTGGGGCTCTACCCACTGGTCTCCCCTACATGAGGCAGTCACCGTAGACTAGAGGGTGCTTTTGAGAGTCAGGTCAGTCTATTGTCCAGGCTGGAGTGCAGTGGTGTGATCTTGGCTCACTGCAGCCTGGGCCTCCAGGGCCCAAGTGATCCTCCCACCTCAGCCTCCCGGGTTCAACCCATTCTCCTGCCTCAGCCTCCCGAGTAGTCAGGATCATAGGCATGCATCACCCCACCTGGCTAATTTTTGTACTTTTAGTACAGATGGGGTTTTGCCATGTTGGCCAGGCTGGTCCCTGAGGATACTTTTTTATTTTTTTTTCCCCCGAGATGGAGTTTCCTTCTGTCACCCAGGCTGGAGTGCAATGGTGCAATCTCAGCTCACTGCAACCTCCACCTCCCAGGTTCAAGCAATTCTCCTGCCTCAGCCTCCCGAGTAGCTGGGATTACAGGCATGTGCCACCATACCCAAATAATTTTTGTATTTTTAGTAGAGACGGAGTTTCACCATGTTGGTCAGGCTGGTCTTGAACACTTGACCTCAGGTAATCCACCAGCCTCAGTCTCCTAAAGTGCTGGGATTACAAATGTGAGCCACTGTGCCCAGCTGAGGATATTTTTTTTTTTCCAGACAGAATCTCGTCTGTCCCAGCTAGAGTGCAAAGGCATGATCTCGGCTCACTGCAACCTCCGCCTCCCGGGTTCAAGCAATTCTTCTGCTTCAGCCTCCCGAGTAGCTGGGACTACAGGTGCCTGCCACCACGACCAGCTAATTTTTGTATTTTTAGTAGAGATGGGGTTTCACCATGTTGGCCAGACTGGTCTCGAATTCCTGACGTCGTGATCCACCTGCCTCGGCCTCCCAAAGTGCTGGGATTACAGGCGTGAGCCACCACACCCGGCCTGGCTGAGGATACTTTTTAAGGTCAAAGAGAGTAGCAGAAGTGGAGTTCCTGGGAACAGGGTCATGAGGGGAAGAGGGGGTTCGGAGGGAGGGAGTAGCCACTGGCTACCTCGAGAGAGGGAAGGCTTTGGTGCAACATCGTTCCCCTGCAGTTTTGCTCATCTTTGCTTCCTGCCCTTTCATCACCCAACTGGGCAGGCAGGACAGGGCCTGAGGGGGCAGGGATCCAGTGGGGGCCTCTCTAGACTAACCCCAGCTCAGGACTCCCAGGGCCCCTTCCCTGAGGCCCCGCTGCCCCCGAGCCCAGGTTGGGGATCCCAAGCAGCATGTAGGCAGAGCCAGTGAGGTCCCCATTAATCCTATTGAAAGCTCTAAAAGCAGCGAACCCTCAGTCCAGGCTCAGGTCAAGCATCCAGGACGGCCTCAGCCCTCGTGGCTGAGATGGGTGAGCCATCTCTGAGGACACTGTGCAGGGCCTATGATTCATCACTGCCTCCCAAGGATGCCAGTCAGGCCCCCGTTGAGATAACTGCTTCCCTACTGGACAAGGCTGGGACCAGCCATCTCGGCTCCGGAACCCCTGGCCTGGGCTGCTGGGTTCAATGGACAAAGACTGTGATTAGAGTCAGAGGGATGGTCTCAGTGACCTCAAGGATAAGGCCAGATCCTTGCACTCTCAATGACCCAAAGCAACAAGTATCCAGAGCAGCAGTGTGGTGCCTTCACGCCCCCAGCCATCAGCCCGACTCACCCAGGACAGGGACTGTAGCCTCAGCACTCAACCCGTGTGCCCTGTGTGGGGTCCCTTCCCACGGCACTCACAGGAGAGGCGGGGGTCTCTGGGGTCCGCTGGGGTCCCCCCTGCAAATGGGGCAAGGAGCTGTCTCAAGGCCTCTGGAGCACACGCAGGTCCTGGCATGGGGCTCCTGGGAGGGCCATGATTCTGGGCTCCATGAGTTCAGAGCAGATGCCTTCTTTTTCCTTGTCCACTGTCAGCTGCCCCACCCTTCTCTGGCCCTTAAAAGAACCAGGAAACAGCACGTGACCTGTGGGAAGGAGGCATTCATTCTTTCCTTTCTGTGGGCATGGGGAGGGGACCACAGGGCACATACCCCACCCTGGGATCCAGCTGAGCAGGGGAGTCAGAGATGACAGTTCTTCCAGCTCACAGGCCACCGGCCCACACACAGGGCAATCAGAAGAACGGAAGGGCACAAGCAGTGCGCAGAGGGAGTCGTTGTCCCTGCCAGAGGTGCAGCACTCCGGGAATGTCCCTCACTCGCCCCATCCCTCTGTCTTGCCCAATCCTGACCAGGGGCAGAAATCTTGCCAAGTGTTTCCGCGTGAGTTGCTGGCAATTGCCTCACCTTCCTGGTCTTGGCAAAGGATGAATCAGCCCACGCTACAGCCCATAAATAGGGCCACCCAGGTGAGCCTCTCACTCGCCTCCACTCCTGCCAGGCCCAGTAGCCACCACAGCACCTGCTTCCTCAGCCCTGAAATCATGCCCCGAGGTCTCCTGTGGCTGGGCCTAGCCCTGTTGGGGGCCCTGCATGCCCAGGCCCAGGACTCCAGCTCAGACCTGATCCCGGCCCCACCTCTGAGCAAGGTCCCTCTGCAGCAGAACTTCCAGGACAACCAGGTAAGGGGCCAAGAGGGGCACCTGCAGGTGGGGCCCGGGGAAGAGTGGGAGCAGAGGGGAGGAGAGGTGAAGAGACTCAGGAGGAGCGTTGGGCAGGACTCCAGGTTTCCAGGATGCCAGGAGTCCCGGGTCCAGGTTTCAGCTCACTCTGTGCCACCAGGGTCCCTGAAGGAAACCATGCCCCTTCCCCCCATCCCCACCCCCATCCCAGCCTGAACAGACTCCCCCAGGTCCACGTCCCCTCTCCCATAACCCCCATTGTCCAAGGAAGGTGGGAACACTTTTAGTCCCCCCTGCACAGATGAGGAAACTGAGGCTCAGGAAGGCCCACCAGCCATGTGCCTCCTCCTGTAAGGAGATCACCCTCCTCCCTGCCAGACTCAGAACCGCCTCTTCCCCCAGGCCTCCCTTCTAGGCTGATGGCCTCCTGCTCCTGCCCCTTCACCAGTGTAGGTCCAGCCTGGGCCCTGCTGCCCAGCTAGAGGGGCTCGTGGTTCCAGGCTGGGCGGCTCAGAGGTGCCACAGGGACAGAGCTGGAGGGGTGGCTCCTAGGGCCATTCTTGGGCTGTGCCTATCATCTGTCCCCTGCAGTTCCAGGGGAAGTGGTATGTGGTAGGCCTGTCAGGGAATGCAGTTAGCAGAAAAGACGAAGCCCCGCTAAAGATGTACGCCACCATCTATGAGCTGAAAGAAGACAAGAGCTACAACGTCACCTCCATCCTGTTCAGGTGAGGGCTGACCTCTCCTGGGGGTATAAGAGGCAGACTGATATCACAGGCAAGGGATGGCCAAAGCTGAGGGATCCTGTCGTTCACCTCACTGTTCTGCCCGGAATTCATCTGTGTTCATCCTTCCTGCGTTCCTTAGGGCAACGTTTATAGCGCAGACACACAGACAGTGGTAGGGATGGACACGCACAGTCGTTAGAAAACAAGACGGAGAGAGGAGGGGTGCCGGGAGTGGGAGGAGGGGACACCGGATCCAGCCTGGAACCCCACCCAGGGCCTTCATGGAGGGCTTCAGGAAGGTGGTCTTTTTTTTTTTTGAGACGGAGTCTCACTCTGTCGCCCAGGCTGGAGTGCAGTGGCCGGATCTCAGCTCACTGCAAGCTCCGCCTCCCGGGTTTACGCCATTCTCCTGCCTCAGCCTCCTGAGTAGCTGGGACTACAGGCGCCCGTCACCTCGCCCGGCTAGTTTTTTGTATTTTTTAGTAGAGACGGGGTTTCACGATGTTAGCCAGGATGGTCTCGATCTCCTGACCTCGTGATCCGCCTGTCTCGGCCTCTCAAAGTGCTGGGATTACAGGCTTGAGCCACCGTGCCGGGTCAGGAAGGTGGTCTTAAAAGAGCCAACCTGCTTCAAAAGGAAGTGAGGGGTGTTCCCGGCAGGGGCCGGAGTCAGAAAGTGCCCCGCTTCAGGAAGGAGCAAGCCATCACAGGGTCGCCCTGAGCAGAGCTGTGGAGCAGCCTGGCGGGGCAGGCGGCCACACTAGCACGCAGCACAGTCCTCAGGCCCTGCCCCGGCGGATCTGCTGCAGAGCGGCTTAGAGGTGGCTGCAGGGTGGGGAGACTCGGTGGGGTGCAGCTTGGGAGGTCGGGAGACCAGCGAAAGTGAAGCAGGGCCATCACAGGTGGGAGAGAACAGGTGCAGGGTGAAGGGGCAGGGAGCCAGGGATCAGTCGTTCCCAGTGGGTTTCTTTTTTCTTTTCTTTTTTTTTTTTTTTTTGAGACGGAGTTTCACTCTTGTTGCCCAGGCTGGAGTGCAATGGCACGGTCTCGGCTCACCACAACCTCCACCTCAAGTGATTCTCCTGCCTCAGCCTCCCTAGTAGCTGGGATTACAGGCATGTGCCACTATGCCTGGCTAATTTTGTATTTTTAGTAGAGACGGGGTTTCTCCAAGTTGGCCAGGCTGGTCTTGAACTCGCGACCTCAGGTGATCCGCCTGCCTCGGCCTCCCAAAGTGCTGGGATTACAGGAGTGAGCCACCACACCCGGCCTCCCCAGTGGGTTTCTGACTGGCAGCTGAGTGGATTGGGATTAGGGCATTTGTGGAGCAAGGAGCAGAATACAGACAGGTTGGGGAGCTCAGCCCTGGGGTGTCAGGGGATGGGAAGTGGGAGGACTCAAGGATGAGGTCAGGTTTGACCCAAGAGGTAGAGGAACGGTTGGCGTGGAGCAGACTGGAAGTACCAAGGTGGATCCCCAGGAGAGGGTATAGGAAGAGAAGCAGCAAGCTGAGCACAGGGGAGAAATGCAGGGTTGCTGTGGTGCGGGGGGGTGGGGAACCACCCAGGGAGGCAGCCAAAGGAAAGAAGGACATGGGGTGCTGGAGGGTCTGAGCAGGGTCCAGGGGCCCCAGGCAGCAGACCCGGACGGACAGCCTGGGATCAGCTCAGGGGGAAGGCCCAGGCCCATCGCGGTTGGGTGGGGTAGGGCCCCTCCAGGTAGTTGGGGATGAGCCATCACAGGTTGGGCCGGACTGAGAGCATCAGAACCCTGCTGCTGCCCTTGCCCCACCTTGTCCGGCACAGGAGGCCCAAGCCTGGGTTGTCTCCCCTCTCACCCACCCATCTCTCCCTCCCAAGGAAAGAGAAGTGTGACTACTGGATCAGAACTTTTGTTCCAGGTTCCCAGCCTGGCGAGTTCACACTGGGCAACATTCAGAGTGAGTCCTGAGTGAGGTGGGGCACTGAGCTGGGGCTCTGAGGAGCTGGGCGGGGGCACAGACCTTGCTGCCCCTCCACACGGATGTGTTGTATGGGGAGAAGCCCGTGCTGATGGGCTGGGGAGGGAGGGGGCAGCTCCCTCCTCCCATCCAGGGCAGGGCTGACCTCTCACCGTCCATGCCTGCAGATCACCCTGGATTAACGAGTTACGTCGTTCGAGTGGTGAGCACCAACTACAAACAGTATGCCATGGTGTTCTTCAAGAAAGTTTCTCAAAACAAGGAGTACTTCAAGATCACCCTCTACGGTGGGTCCTCTCCCATCACCTCGGGGACTGGCTCCTGATCACACTTAGCGGGAGGGGAGGCCGGTCCCCACCTGCAGGAAGAGGTCATGCCATAGACCCTCCGTGAGGAAGGGATCTGAGGCCTCATCCACTCATTCAACGATATTTATGTGGTGTCTACCGGCCACTCACTGGCCATCTTGGTCACAGGGAGAACCAAGGAGCTGACTTCGGAACTAAAGGAGAACTTCATCCGCTTCTCCAAATCTCTGGGCCTCCCTGAAAACCACATCGTCTTCTCTGTCCCAATTGGTAATGGCCAGTGTGGATGAGGGGACGGGGACGTGGGAACTGTTCAGGCGGGATGCTTCCCTGCCAGGGAGGAGGGAGAGGAGAGACTCAGTCCTCAGCTTCAGTCACTGGAGCAGTGGATGGTCCAGGAGCTCCTTGGAAGCCACTCTGGGTCCAGGAAGACTGTGCCCCACCCCAGGGTCTATGGGACTCCCAGGGACCCAGGCCCCAAGTGCTCTTTGCTGGCAGTTTAGCCAGGGTCTGCCCAGATGAGGATTTCAGACCCAGGCCCGAGTATCCATTTCTCAGTCTCACTGGCCTGACACCTCCAGCCACCCTCCCAGGCCCCCTTGTTCTGGGCCATCTTCCCCCACTCTCCCAGGCCTCATCGCCCTGGGTTTTGCTGTCCTGGCTGTCCTTTCTCCCCTGGGGACTTGCTCACCACTGACTTGGGAGCTGTCCTTGACTCCAGGGAGCCTGGCTTGGGCAGGAGGCTCCAGTCAGGCCATTCAGAGAGCCACTGGCCTCCCCCGGACTGAGAGGCTGCCTGGACTAGTAAACAGGCGGGAGACCTGGGTGCCCGAGCAGCCTGGGAGCTGCGCCTCACTCAGGGCTCTCCCTCCCCAGGCCTTTCTCCTATATCCCCTGCCCCGCCGTCTGCCCCTCTGTTGCCCCATCCCTGAAAGGAACTCCCACATCTTCTGCAGCTGGGCCAGGTGGGGCAGGGGCTGCCCAGGGACGGTGCAGAGGACCTGGCAGTCAGGGATCACACACACACACACACACACACACACACACACACACACACAGAGCTGCCTGTTCTGACGGACTTTCTCCCCAACAGACCAGTGTATCGATGGCTGAGTGCACAGTGAGTGTGTCCGGGCGGCTGGGAGGGGGCTTGTGGGAGGCCAGGATGCAGTGGGCTGGGGGTCTTGGGCCTGCCTTTGCTCTTCCCCCTGCCCCCCAGCACTGCTACTATCTTTATTCTGCTGTCCCCATCTCGGGTGTCTCCCATCTCCCCGCCCATCACCCTCATATCCACCTCTGTCCAGGGTGCCGCCAGCTGCCGCACCAGCCCGGACACCATTGAGGGAGCTGGGAGACCCTCCCCACCGTGCCACCCACCCAGCTGCTCCCCAGGCCACCCCGCTGATGGAGCCCCACCTTGTCTGCTAAATAAACATATGCCCCCAGGCCTCTGAGTCCACACTCTTTGACCCCTGGGCCTTTGAGGAAGGGGAGGGGCAGGGGGCTCCCACTGGCATCACTCCCAGGGTTTGCACCCCCAGGATGGAGCCCAGCGAACCCAGCCTGGGTGTTAGGGCTGCAGAGTGAAGACACAAGCCCCCCGTCATCACCAGCAGCTTTGTGGCTGACTGCCCTGAGTCCTTCCCACGTGGTGTAACACCGCACTCCCTCCTGTTATGACATGGAGCCCAGCCCCAGAGCAGCGGCAGTTCTCACATTCTCCTGCCTAGGCGGGTGCCCAGTCCATCGCAGACACGCTGGGCCACACCCCATCAGAGTGTGACAGGGGCATGCGCAGCTGGAGGCTGTTCCAGGCAGAGAGGGTCGGCTCAGCGGGGGTGGTCCCTGCCCCTCTGCCGCCCCCTGTGGGCCCCGTGGGTGAGGAGCCATGTCCATGCTAACCCCGTTTCAGAGTGCTGCCCTTTACTCCACACTCCCCGCCTGATGACATCCAGGCCATGTTGGGGGTGCATTCTGAAGCCAGGGGCAGGGCCAGGGGGAAGTGAGGAGGGGCTATGCCGCCAAGAATCCAGTTCCCCAGGACTCAGAGAGCTCCAGGCCTGCACTCATCACTTGGCTGCCCGTGTCAGGCCTGACAAGCCCTTGGTCCCCCACTGGCCACAGAGGCAACCTCTGCAGGTTCACGTCACACACAGGCACTCCCTCCCCAGCCCCTTTTCCCGGTGCAAGGACAGAGGCCAGAGTGGGTGGGGTTCAGCGGAAACCCCATGGACAGACACACCACCCCGTTCACCCTCGGCTGGGCTAAGGAGAGATGCTGGTACTGTGAGCCAGCTCCAGCCTCGGACCCCAAGGAGCAGGACAGGCCTGAGACCCAGGCCCACCAAATGTTGCCAAAGCCTCGGAAGTCTGGTCCAGACTCCTGGAAGAGGCCAACTTGGGGCAGTCCGGGCTTTGAGAGAGGGATGGGACTGTTCCCAAGCCCAGAGAGGCTCTGGGCTGAGAAAGGCACCCAAGGACTGCTAGCTGGCCAAGGGAGTGGACATCGCACCCAGCACGCCTGGCCCTTGGGCTCCAAATGGAGCAGCAGATCCGGTTTCCTAGCCTGGCCCAAGCAAGGCAGCTTCTTGTCGCCCCTGGGCCTGCTGAGCCTTTCAGGATCAAACTCTTAGGGCCTAGAAGGGCTTTGTGTTTCCTTCTGGGTGGCCAGAGGTTTGAGTTTCCTATTGCCACTATTGAAAGAGGCAGGATGGCCAGGCGGGGTGGTTCACACCTGTAATCCCAGCACTTTGGGAAGCTGAGGCGGGTGGATCACCAGGTCAGGATATCGAGACCGGCCTGGCCAACATGGTGAAACCCCGCCTCTACTAAAAATACAAAAAAATTAGCTGGGCGTCGCAGTGCGCGCCTGTAGTCCCAGCTGCTTGGGAGGCTGAGGCAGGAGAATCGCTTGAACCCAGCAGGCAGAGGTTGCAGTGAGCTGAGATTGCGCCAGTGCACTCCAGCCGGGGCAACAAAGCGAGCGAGACTACGTCTCGAGAAAAAAAAAAAAAGAGGCAGGCAGACAAATATCTTGGCAGATAGGGACAAGTCCCCAGTGAAACCCCACCTCTAAGCCAAAGACAGTTTAAAGCCTGAAACCCATGCTACAACTCAAATCCATGGACCAGATTAAGACCCTGTCATCCTACTTGGCATACTTTCCTCTGATTGATCCCCACCCTTCACCTATTTTACATTTTTACATATACCTCCCCATCCCTAATTGTTGTTTTTTTTTTTTTTTTTTTTGAGACGGAGTCTTACTCTGTCGCCCAGGCTCGAGTGCAGTGGCACGATCTCAGCTCACTGAAAGCTCCACCTCCCAGGTTCACGCCATTCTCCTGCCTCAGCTTCCCAAATAGCTGGGACTACAGGCGCCCGTGACCACGCCCGGCTAATTTTTTGTATTTTTAGTACAGACAGGGTTTGCACTGTGTTAGCCAGGATGGTCTCGATCTCCTAACCTCGTGATCTGCCCACTTCAACCTCCCAAGTGCTGGGATTACAGGCGTGAGCCACTGCGCCTGGCCTGTTTTTTTTTTTTTTAATGACACGGAGTCTTGCACTATCACCCGGGCTGGATGGAGTGAAGTAGTACAATCTTGGCTCATTGCAACCTCCACTTCCCGGGTTCAAGAGATTCTCCTGCCTCAGACTCCCAAGTAGCTGGGATTACAGGTGCCCGCCACCATGCCCAGCTAATTTTTTGTTTTTGTATTTTTAGTAGAGACAGGGTTTCACCATGTTGGCCAGGCTGGTCTCAAACTCCTGACCTCGTGATTCGCCTGCCTCAGCCTCCCAAAGTGCCTAATTGGTTTTTTATACTGTCATGCCCACCTTTGAGTGGTGCCTTTGTTTTAGCCTTTTTTGCATACTGACAAGTCAGTCAGCATGCATTCCCCATTCTGAGTCCAGAAAAGCCCAGGACCCAGTCACACTGAGGGAGAGACTGCCCAACATGGGGTGTGGGACCACCTTCACATCCCCTCTTTGCTGAGAGCTGTTCCATCACTCAACAAAATCATTCTCTGTCCTCCTCACCATTTGATTGGATACAGCATATCCTCATTCTTCTTGGACTCGGGACAAGAGCCTGGGACCCACCAAGTGAGGGTACAAAGAAAGCTGTAACAGTGGTGGGGTTGAGCCGGCTCTGGAGCCACAGGCCAGAGTGGATGACAGGGCTGACATCTGCCTGGGCAGGGATGTCACTGGCTGGGGGTTTCCAGCTGGTAGAATGACCATGAAAAATCCTGTGTCACTATCACAAATCACCACAAACTGTGGGTTTAAAACAACACCTATATATTTGCTTTCAGTTCTGGAGGTCAGAAGTTTGAAACCAGTTTCACTGGGCAGAAATGAGTGTCCACAGAGCTGTGCTCCCTCCAGAGGCTCTCAGGGAAGCTGCTGCCTGCCTTTCCCAGCTTCTCATGCTGTCTTCCTTGCACCCTTTAGCCTCTGGCTCCTTCCTCCTTCAAAGGCAGTGGAGCATTAGCAAATCTCTTTCTCTGCTGAGGGCCTCACTCTCAGTCAAGGAGGGCAGGCTAGGCTGGGCACCACGGCTCACATCTGTCATCTGAGCATGTGGGGAAGCTGAGGTGGGAAGATCACTTGAGCCCAGGAGTTTGAGATCAGCCTGGGCAAGATGGTGAAACCCTCCCTCTATAAAAATAAAAATACTAGCTGGGTGTGGTGGTGGTGCACCTGTAGTCTCAGCTAATACAGAGGCTGAGGTGGGGAGTTTGAGGCTGCAGGGAACTATGATTGTACCATTGCACTACAGCCTGGGCCACACAGCAAGACCCTGTCTCAAAAAAAAAAAAAAAAATTAAGCTTTAAAAAGGAGGTGAGCCTGACCTGGATGAGAGGCCATTCCCCAAAATTCTTTGGGTGCTGGTTCAGTGTCCTTCTTGCTCTCGCTCAATCTACTTCAGGGAGGAGAAGGCAGGGCTGACCATGTGCAAGTCGGTGGAGACCCTCACAGCAGACTTCAGACTCCACCATGCCCCTGCCTTCCTCAGGTAGAACAGTGAGGGTGGCTTCTGGGACAAGAGAGGATTCCACCCCATTGTCACTGTCTGGGATACACGCTTGGGCCTGATCTGGCATTGAGGATGGCCTGCCCACAGGGACAGCCAGTGTGAGACCAGGTCCAGGCTGCTGCAGCCATGAGACCTCCATGCACTATAGCTACTGGAGTCCCAGTAGGTGACCCCTCTGCCTAGAACGTGGGCCTAATTCTCAGCTGGACCCCTGGTCAGGATCATAGCTCTGGATCCAACCCAGGGGTGACACTTGCCAGCTGGGTGACTGTGGGCAAGCCGCCCTCTCCTAGCTGGGAAGTGGAGTGTGGGATGACAGCAGCTGGGCCGATTATCATGAAGCCTTTCTTGATGAGCAGTCTGTGAAGCACTCTGCCCACGGCCCTCCACCCTCCACTGCAGCACCCACAGGAGGGGGCGGCAAACCTTTCCTTTATTGGAGAATGTGACACACAGTCCTGGGTGGATTTGAGGTGAGCTTGAACTAAGGGTAGCCTCACCCCGTCCTGCTCCTGTCCCAGTTAAGGGGCTCTTCCTAAAATGAACTATTTCTACTTCTCTTTATTAAAAAAAAAATTAAATCTAGCCAGGCATGGTGGTTTACACCTTTAACTTTGTGGGGCCGAGGCGGGGGGATCACCTGAGGTCAGGAGTTCGAGACCAGCCTGGCCAACATGGTGAAACTAAAAATACAAAACTTAGCCAGGCATGGTGGCATACACCTGTAATCCCAGCTACTCGGGAGGCTGAGGCAGGAGAATTGCTTGAACCCAGGACGCAGAGGTTGCAGTGAGCCGAGATCACACCACTGCACTCTAGCCTGGGCGACAGAGGGAGACTCTGTCTCAAAAAAAAAAAAAAATTTAAACTTTAATTTAATTTTTTTTTTCTCTTTGACTTCTCAAAGTTCAACTTATAAAGGTAGCTCCAGGGGCCAGGCGCGTTGGCTCATGCCTGTAATCCCAGCACTTTGGGAGGCCGAGGCCGGCAGATCATGAGGTCAAGAGATCGAGACCATCCTGGCCAACATTGTGAAACCCCATCTCTACTAAAAGTACAAAAATTAGCTGGGCGTGGCGGCGCGCACCTGTAGTCCCAGCTACTCTGGAGGCTGAGGCAGGAGAATCACTTGAACCTGGGAGGTGGAGGTTTCAGTGAGCCAAGATCATTGTACTCTAGCCCAGCGACAGGGCAAGACTCCGTCTCAAAAACAAAAACAAAAAAGGTAGGTCCAGGAAGGGCGCGGTGGCTCACACCTGTAATCCCAGCACCTTGGGAAGCCAAGACAGGTGGATCACCTGAAGTCAGGAATTTGAGACCAGCCAGGGCAACATGGTGAAACCCCAATTCTACTAAAAATAAAAAAAAATCAGTCGGGTGTGGTGGCATGCACCTGTAATCCCAGCTACTCGGGAGGCTGAGGCACAAGAATTGCTTGAACCCGGGGAGGAGAAGTTGCAGTGAGCTGAGATCATGCCACTGCACTCCAGCCTGGGCAACAGAGCAAGACTCTGTCTCAAAACAAACAAACAACAAACAAACAAAGGTAGGTCTGCTCCAGGCCAAACTTTCTTTCTTTCTTTCTTTCTTTTTTTTTGAGACGGAGTTTCTCTTTGTTGTCCAGGCTGGAGTGCAGTGGTGCAATCTCAGCTCACTGCAACCTCTGTCTCCCGGGTTCAAGTGATTCTCCTGCCTCAGCCTCCTGAGTAGCTGGGATTATGGGCGCACGCCACCACACCCGGTTTATTTTTGTATTTTTAGTAGAAATGGGGTTTCGCCATGTTGGTCAGGCTGGTCTCAAACTCCTGACCTCATGATCCGCCTGCCTCAGCCTCCCAAAGTGCTGAGATTACAGGCATGAGCCACTGCACCCAGCCTCACATTTAATTTTTTTAATTTTTATTTTTTGAGATGAAGTATCACCCTGTCACCCAGGCTGGAGTGCAAGGGCACGATTTCTGGTCACTGCAACTTCTGCCTCCCGGTTCAAGTGATTCTCCTGCCTCAGCCTCCCCAGTAGCTGCGACTATAGGGGTGTGCCACCAAACCTGGCTAATTAAACTTTTTAAAAACTAATTAATTAATTATTATTTTTAAAGACAGAGTCTCACTCTGTCACCCAGGCTGTAGTGCACTGGTGCAGTCATAGCTCACTGCAGCCTCGAACTCCTGGGCCCAAGTGATCCTCCTGCCTTAGCCTCCCAAGCAGCTGCGACTAAGGTGCATGCCACCAGGTCTGGCTAATTTTTTTTGTACTTTCTGTAGAGACGGGGGGCTGAGTCTCACTATGTTTCCCAGGCCGGTCTCCAACTCCTAGGCTCAAGCAATCCTCCCACCTCGGCCTCCCAAAGCACTGGGATTATAGGTGGGAGCCATCCCGCCTAATGTTCCTGTTTCTCTTGTCCAGAGCTGAAGTCCAGCCTGATTCCCACCCACAGGTTGTAACCAATGAGCCCTAAGAGAAGCGTTGAAGACCAGGAAGGCCCAGATCCAGGGGTAGGGGTGTTGGGTCCTCTCCATTGGGGTGCAGGCAGAGAGGTGAGGAGGAAGGAGACCCTTCGTGACTCTCAGCGAGGCTGTGAAGAGGAATGTCCTGAAGCCACAGGAAGTATGGAAACCCTGTTTCCAAGGCTGGGCCCAGTAGCTCATGCCGGTAACCCCAGCATTTTGGGAGGCCGAGGCGGGTGGATGGCTCGAGCTCAGGAGTTCGAGAGCAGCCTGGGCAACATGGCGAAACCCCTGTCTCCAAAAAATACAATAGCCGGCGTGGTGCACCCGCCTGTAGTCCAGCTACTCTGGAGGCTGAGGTGGGAGGATCGCTTCAGGCTGGGAGGCAGAGGTTGCAGTAAGCCGAGATCACCCCACTGCATTCCAGCCTGGAAGACAGAGCCAGACCCTATCTCAAAAAATAACAAGGAAACCCGTTTTCGATTTCGCCCCAGCGGAGGGGCCGAAGCAGCAGATGGGCTTGGGAGGTCTTCCGCCCCTCCTCCTGGACCTCCCTACTCCTGGGCTTTTCCAGGGGCAGCACCGTGGTGGCCCCGCCCAGCGCCCAGGAGACTGGCGAGGCCGGCGGCGGAATGGGCGGAGTTCGACTGTGAGACAGGTGGAGGTGGGACCCCGGCGGTGGGGGCGGAGTCTGGACGTGGGGCGGGGGCGGAGTTCCGGCTGGGGGGCGGGGCGGGGCGGAGCGAGATCTGCGGGATTCCGGCTTCAGGGGTGGGGCCCCGGCCTCTGGGCGGAGATCTGCTGCCGCGTTCCACCCTTCCGGCCCGGTGTTCTATCCACCGCCTCCACCTTCCATCCGGCGCCGGCTTTCGGCGCGACGGTCGCCGCGTTCCATCGTCGCGCGGCCCTTCGGGCGCCCGAGCCCGCAATGTCGGGCCCCAACGGGGACCTGGGGATGCCGGTGGAGGCGGGAGCGGAAGGCGAGGAGGATGGCTTCGGGGAAGCAGGTGACCCGAGGGGGCTGCTGGAGCAACCTTGCTTTTTCAGGGCTGCCCTCCCGGGAAGGGGAATCGGGATGGGGTCTTGGAAGGGAACAAAGAACCCACCCCATTCCGCCCCGAGTGGGTCCGAAGTTGTAGGTGCTGTCTCGGATGCAGGGCGAGCACCCGCGAGCCGGTCGCCAGCTCCGTGAGAGCTGCGGGTCACCAGTCCCCTTTTACAGATGGGGAAATTGAGGCAGCTTCGGGGACACTCGCCCTTGTGGGCCTTGCTCCACCACTTCCTTCAGTCCTGGGAGGAGACCGAGGCACCTGAGGGAGGCAGGGTTGAGCTTGGCCGGCTTGGCTTAGCGGAGAGGCCGGGCCGGGGCGTGGGGTTGGGGGGGCGCGGGGGCGTCGTTCTGCCGAGTCAGCATCCCCAGCCACCTGGCTTTGCTGGTGTAGCCTCGCAGCCTTGCCAAATGTCAGCAGCTTACAGAGCAGCCTTTTGCGTGCTTACAAGTGCAGGGGTGGGGTGTGGAGAGAGAACCATCAGCTCCCTTCTCACATTCTTCAGCCTCAGTTTCCCCCTCTATAAAATAGGAATAATGATTAGTGTCTCCTGCACCGGGATGTGTCAGCATTAAATGCAAAAAATAAATGGAAAATGCTTAGCAGGTTCTAGCATGCAAGAGTTCAGTAAATGGTTTTTGTCATTATTCTCTTTGGTAAAGATTGGCATGTTAACATACACTGAGGATTTAGTAAATGTGGTGTAAGCATGGCGCATGCTCTTTGTTTTGTTTGGGGTAACAGCTTTATTGAGCTATACAACTTACCCATTTAAACTGTACAGTTCAGTGGGCTTTTGTGTATTCCCAGGGCTGTGCATCCATCACCACAATAGTTTTAGGTAGGTTTGCATTGGGCAATGCTGTTGGGAGCATCAGGAAGAGCTTCCCAGGAGGTCACATTGAGTGGATGCTGGCAGACGGGACTTAGAACAGTGGTGTCCCAGGCAGAAGCAAAGGCTTGGAGCTGGGAAGTACCCTTGACACAGATAAAGCCTGGCCTGGAGGGGTGTGGGGCACCTGCCTCCCCAATTCCTCCTCCCAGCCTGTATCCCAGGACACAGAATTCAAAATATTGATAATAATGATCATCCACTAAGTACTTGCTGTGGCCAGATCCTGTCTGAACTCTTTTTTTTTTTTTTTTGAATTGGAGTCTTGCTCTGTTGCCCAGGCTGGAGTACAGTGCATGATCCTGGCTCACTGCAACCTCTGCCTTCCGGGTTCAAGCGATTTTCATGCCTCAGCCTCCCGAGTAGCTGGGACTATAGGTGACTACCACGCCTGGCTTTTTTTTTTTTTTTTTTTTTTTTGAGGTGGGCCTTCTCCTTCGCCCCCGCTGGAATGCAGTGGCCGGATCTCAGCTCACTGCAAGCTCTGCCTCCCGGGTTTACGCCATTCTCCTGCCTCAGCCTCCCGAGTAGCTGGGACTACAGGCGCTCGCCACCTCGCCTGGCTAGCTTTTTGTGTTTTTAGTAGAGACGGGGTTTCACCGTGTTAGCCAGGATGGTCTCGATCTCCTGACCTCGTCTTGGCCTCCCAAAGTGCTGGGATTACAGGATTTTTATATATTTTTAGTAGAGACAGTGTTTTACCATGTTGGCCAGGCTGGTCTCGAACTCCTGACCTCCGGTAATCCACCCTCCTTGGCTTCCCAAGGTGCTGGGATTACAGGCATGAGCCACCACGCTGGCCACTGTCTGAACTCTTGATATGTTTGAATCCTCACAACCACCCAGTTATTTTCCCTTTTTTCCAGAAAGGTGCAACAACTTGCTGGTGTAAAGCAGAGCTGGAATTCAAACCCAAGTGCCCCGACCTCCAAGTCCAATCCTGAGTTTCGACTCTGTTACCAACCTGGAGGATCCTGGGCAGGTTCCTTCGGAGGCCTTGGTTTCCCTAGCTGTATACCACGAGGGGGTTGGACTTTAAGATGCAGCCAATTTCCCGAGACTCTGTCCTCTGTGAGGGTGGCTGGGAACGGGTGCCCTTTCCCAGAACACAGGCACAAGTGCACCCATAACCCAGATAGGCTCCTCCAGCTCCTCCACTGGCTGCTTCCCCCTTGGTCTCAAGCTGGCAGCTGAGTGTATCTGAGTCATGGGCTGGCTCAGAACTGGGTCCCGCAGTGGGCACAGGCCCAGACCTTGAGTCCTCAGGGACACTGTGTTGCTGAGCAAGGCAGCTCTGGAGTGGCCGTGGAGGGGAGGGAGTGATGGTTTCTAGTGGAGACCAGGGAAGACTTCTTGGAGGAGGCATTTTGAGCTGGTCCTTGAAGGGCTGTTGTGGTTGAGGCATTCTAGGTTGCAGGGATAGTTGAGCAATGGCGGAGAGGCTGGCAAGTCAGAGGCTTCATTCATTCACTCACTCAGTCATTCAACAAATGCTTATTGCAAAACTGTGAGGGTACAAAACAGGGAGCCAGCAGCGAACACAGGACCATTCACCTTTCATGGGGAAACAGAACAGCACTCAGATAAGCACAGCAGTCAATCCTGGAGAGGGTCGTGGAGGGCTGAGGAGGGCTAGGGGCTCAGCATAGAGGCCTGATCCAGTCTGGGGCATTGGGTGGGCTCCCGGTGGTGACATCCATACTGAGACTTGAAGGATGAGTGGGACTCATCCAGGAGGAGAGGAGGGAAGGAAGGTGGGAGGACCCAGCACATTCCAGGCAGAGACAGCAGCATGTTCAAAGGGCCTGAGGTAGGTAAAGGCAGGTGTGAGAGAGGAAAGGAAGAGGCAGGGAGGCAGGGCTAGCTAGGAGGCAGGGGCTGGGAGACTCCGCTGGGTGTTTTACCCTGAGGGAGCCACAGAAGGGCTGGCAAACAGGGCCCATCTGGGGACAGGGGCCTTGAATGCCCAACTCAGGAATGTGGGCTCTGGCCACTAAGCAGCTGCTGCAGAAAGTGCAGAGACTTGGCACCTGGCCGGACTTCCCATGTAGGACACTGGCTCGCCACCCTGTGACCACCCTAACCCTAGAAGAAAGGATGCAGTACTCAGGTGTCATTAATTCAAAGCCATTCCTCTTTTGGTATCCACCCATTTTCTAGATGGTGACACTGAGGCTCAGGAAGGAGTAGGGACTTGCATAAAGCCCTTTGGGAAGCAGGCTGGGAAACGGTGGAGGGAGGGTGGCCATTAGCCCCAAGGAGACACAGGATCTGGGCTCTGTCTTTCGCCTTCCTCCCAGAATACGCTGCCATCAACTCCATGCTGGACCAGATCAACTCCTGTCTGGACCACCTGGAGGAGAAGAACGACCACCTCCACGCCCGCCTCCAGGAGCTGCTGGAGTCCAACCGGCAGACACGCCTGGAGTTCCAGCAGCAGCTCGGGGAGGCCCCCAGTGATGCCAGCCCCTAGGCTCCGAGAGCCCCCACCCGGGACCCAACCCTGCCTCCCTGGGCTAGGCTCTGGCCTGGGTATTCACCTCCTGGCTTAGACACCTTCTCAAGGGCTGGTCTTCAGGGTCCCCTGGTGGGTCTGCCTACCTGGACCACCCTTCCTGCCTGGGCCTCCCCTTGGCCTACCTGGGCCAGCCCCCACTGCCTGGCATCCCCTCCTGGGGCCAAGAGTGGGGCTTGCAACCCACCCACTTGCCTGCCCACCCAACTCCTGGGCACTCTCCACTCTGCCCAGGCCTTGAGTGTCCACATTAAATGGGTCTCCCACACCACTGTGCCTCTTTCCTCTGTATCCCAGGACGAGAACCCCAGGAGCTGCTGGAGGTGAACAGGGCCATGTAGGTGTTCAGGTGTTGATCATGTACTGGCGGTTCAGAGGCCAGGTGGCGGGGCTGGGGTTCTTGGTCACCTGTACTTCTGGACACAGAAGGTGCAGGTGAGGGCAGGGCTTCCTCCCTAGCTGGTACATTGCTGGCCAGCAGCTGCGTCCTAGCCCAGAAGCCCAATTGAGGCTGCTGGACAGGCTGTGGGACCTTGTGTGATGCTCTCAGCCTCTCTGGGTACTAAGGCCTTTTGCCAAGACAGCCAACACCAAGACATGCTATGCAGCCTCCACATTGCCCTCCTACTCCTGGCCTGTCTCCCCAGTAACAGGGTTGGTCTGGTCATTTATCTCTCTGGGTTTTTCTAATGAGGAAACAGGAGAAGTGAAGGGCCAACTCAGCCCGGGCCCCATCCACCCATGATTCATCTTAGGGCCGCCTGACCAGGAGGGCGGGGTGCCTGCTAGTGAACCAAGAAGAGAACCAGAGGGCCTGAGCAGGAAGGACCCCACTCCTGCACTACAAATGGTGCAGCTGGAGAGACAGGCCAGCATGGGTCAGAGAGGTCAGGCCCAGGTCAAATCCCAGCCACTTACCAACTGCGTGGCCTTCAGCAAGTCACTTGACCTTGCTAGGCCTCCAGCCAAAGGAACTTCCCCAGGTCTGATACGTTATTAAGAGGGAAACTTGGCCAGGCACAGTGGCTCACACCTATAATGCCAGCAGTTTGGAATGCCACGGTGGGCGGATTGCTCGAGCCCAGGAATTTGAGACCAGCCTGGGCAACATGGTGAAACACCACCTCTACCAAGAACATAAGAAAAATTACCCAGGCGTGATGGTGCATGCCTGTGGTCCCAGCTACTCGGGAAGTTGAGTTGGGAGGATGGCTTAAGCCTGGGAGGCAGAGGTTGCAGTGAGCTGAGATTGGCACCACCGTACTCCAGTTTGAGCAACAGAGCCAGACCCTGCCTCAAAAGGATAAAAATGAGCCAGGTGTGGTGGCTCACGCCTGTAATCCCAGCACTTTGGGAGGCCAAGACAGGTGGATCATTTAAGGTCAGGAGTTCAAGACCAGTCTCACCAACATGCTGAAACCCGGTCTATACTAAAAATACAAAAAATTAGTTGAGCATGGTGGCATGCACCTGTAATCCCAGCTACTCAGGAGGCTGAGGTAGGAGAATTACTCAGGAGGCTGAGGTAGAGAATCAATGGAACCTGGGAGGCGGAGGTTTCAGTGAGCCGAGATTGGGTTATTGCACTCCACTGTGAGAGACAGTGGAGACTCCATCTCAAAAAATAAATTCTAAGGCCGGGCGCGTGCCTGCCTGTAATCCCAGCACTTTGGGAGGCCGAGGTGGGTGGATCACGAGGTCAGAGACCATCCTGGCCAACATGAAACCCCATCTCTACTAAAAATACAAAAAAAAATTAGCCGGGCGTGGTGGCAGGCGCCTGTAGTCCCAGCTACTCGGGAGGCTGAGGCAGGAGAACATGGAACTCCAGGAGGCGGAGCTTGAGTGAGCCGAGATAGTGCCACTGCACTCCAGCCTGGGCGACAGAGCAAGACTCCGTCTCAAAAAAAAAAAATAATAAAATAAAATAAAATAAATAAATTTAAATTAAAAATTTTTTTTTTTTTTTGAGATGGAGCGCCCAGGCTGGAGTGCAATGGCACGATCTCGGCTCACTGCAACTCTGCCTCCCAGGTTCAAGCAATTCTCCTGCTTCACTGTCTCAGCCTCCCGAGTAGCTGGGATTACAGGTGTCCGCCAAAACGCCCCAGCTAATTGTATTTTCAGTAGAGATGGGGTTTTGCCATGTTGGCCAGGCTGGTCTTGAACTCCTGACCTCAGGTGATCCACCCGCCTCAGCCTCCCAAAGTGCTGGGATTACAGGCATGAGCCGCTGCGCCCGGCCTAAAACTTTTTTTAAAAGAGGGAAACCGAAGTTCAGACAGGTGAAGTGCCTTGTGATCCAGAGTCCCTGGTTCCCAGGGAGCCTGTCTGGCCTTCCGGTTCTGCCACCACATGGCCCAGAGAGCTGGGTGCTGGCTGAGAGCTGGCTGGGGTGCCCCCCTTCCCCTCTCCACCCAGACAGAAGTACTGGTGGGAACTGCACAGCCAAACTACCTTGTTTTTATTGGATTTTGAGTAAAAATACGAACCATGTCAAAGTTTCCAGGCAGACTTCTAAAAAGCATTAGCAGATTTGGACCCAGGCAGGCCGGAGGACAGGGAGGTCCCTCTATCAGGTTTTAAGGCGGGTGGAGCGCCGAGGTAGTGGGGGTTGGGAGGGTCGAGCCGTCACCTTGCTGGGTGTTTTGTCCTGGGTGTTGGGCTGGGAGGGTGGGCGGCCGTTGGAGGTGAACAGGGCTGTCAAAGCGTTCCGGGCGTTGATGGCGCACCGGCGGCTCACAGGTCGGGTGGTGGGGCTGGGGTTCTTGGCCGCCTTGTATTTCTGGATACAGAAGGTGCAGGTAAGGTCAGGGTTTCCTCCCTACATGGTATGCTCCTGGCCAGCAGCTACTTCCCCAGCTCTGGCTGAGACAGTATTAGTGTGCTCTGTGACCCTGCGTGATGCACTCAGCCTCTCTGGGCCAAGACTCTGGAGCTAACAGCCTCGTACTCGGCATCCCCTTGAACAGTAAGAGCCCAACCCCACCCCAGCTCTAATTTTCTCCCTATTGGTGAAGGGGTGGTGTCTTGGGGTTGAGGCCCAGCACAAGAAGGGGTGGCCACTAGCCACCCAGAGCAGCTTGGATATGACTGAGTCTGTGGCCAGGGGAGGACAGGGCAGGATGTCCGGCTCACCTGCAGGCTCTCAAAGTGGCCCAAGGACTTGCAGTGGGAGAGCTGTGCCCCTGAGTTGCTGTGATAGAACTTGTGACAGATGCGGCAGACGTAGCCCATCACCGGTACCAGGAAGTCCACACCTGTAGGACGGGATGGCAGGGTCTGCACTCACATCCCTGTACCAGCGAGGTGTCCCTCCCTCTCTAGGGGCCCATGTGCTCCCCGACCCTCTAGGCAGGAGCAGAAGAGAAGGCTTCCCAGCCAGAATGCCATGGCCAGAATCTGGGAGGGTCACGTGGAGACTGGGCCCAAGGGCTGAAGCTCCTGCAGGTGGGTTCAGGCTGGGGCCTTACCATATGCAGTATTGGGGCTGTAGGTCTCCGAGCCCTTCCACTCCTCTCTGGATATATCTCTGGACCTCATCTGAAAACATGCAAGCATAAGCCTCAGATCTGGCTTCCCCTAGACACCTCCCAGATGCAGGTCAGGGGCCTGGAGCCCACCAATGCCCTTGGACACACAGAATCCCCTTGATTTCCAGGAGGTAGTGGGTGGTGTTCTCTGAGTCTTTGCACGTGGTGATCCTGCCTCCCAGAGTGCTCTTCCCAATCTATACTTTATAGACTCTGTTCAACTAGCCTCCTCCTCCAGAAAGTCCTCCTGCTCCTACAGGGGCCATCATCCATGCCAGGTGTGCCCAAGATATCATGTGTCATCTGACTGAATCCTCATAACAACCCTATATGGCTACACCCATTTTACTAAGAAGAAACTGAGGCCCAGAGACATTAACTCACTTGTCTAGGGTTGCACAGCTAGTTTGCGGAGGAGCTGGGCAGGGAACCCTGTAGGTCTAAGCCATAGTTCACACTCAACCATGAGCCCCCTGCTAGCTCCCTAAGGTCCTATCCAATACTGCAGTGACCTTGGTCCTAGGGGGTGGGTTCAGGGGATCAAAGCCTCTGCATTTCACCTGCTGGATGTGAGCCCCTTCCAGATGAGGTCATCTGACTCTGGCCATGTCAGCCCTAGGAGGCCTAGCAGTGCCCTCCACCACTCACCAGGCAAACAAATGTGGCTTCCAAGAAGGACAACCACCCCCGTTTGCTAAGCCCTTCCTAGGACCAAGTCGTGGGCCCTGGGTTTCCCTTATTGTCCAAGTTCAGATTGTTATTTCTGAGCAGAGGCAACTGAGGCTCAGAGAGGCCAAGTGGCTTGCCTGAGATGATATTGCTACTGAGCAAGGAAGATGGGCCTCATACTACCCTGCCTAGGACTGCAGGCCACCCCCACAACGCTTCCTCCCCAGCCCCTTCATACCCCACTGTGACTGCCACAGCCTATAAGCAGCCCCAGCTGGCCCCTGGACTGTAACTGGGGCAGCCTCGGTGAGGGCAAGGACCAGGCCTTGGCCTTCATGGGTCCCTGCGTCCAGCACCAGGGCCTGACCCAGAAGACACTCTCTGGAAACGTGTTAAACTGCAAAGAATCTGGCTGGGCGTGGTGGCTCACACCTGTAATCCCATCACTTTGGGAGGCCAAGGTGGGTGGATCACCTGAGGTCAGGAGTTCGAGACCAGTCTGGTCAACATGGTGAAACCCTGTCTCTACTAAAAATACAAAAATTAGCCAGGCGTGGTGGTGGGTGCCTGTGATCCCAGCTACTTGGGAGGCTGAGGCATGAGAATCGCGTGAACCCACGAGGTGGAGGTTGCAGTGAGCCAAGATCGCACCATTGCACTCCAGCCTGGGCGACAGAGCAAGACTCCGTCTCAAAATAAATAAATAAAAATAAAAACTGCAAAGATTCCAAGCTCCTCCAGCTCCTCATTCATGGGAGACATGGTAGCTGCGGCATTGGAAACGTGGACTCTGAATGTTTCACTTCATGCCATCCAATCTGATGAGATTCAGCCAGGATAGTGCTTGGTACACACGCCTGGAACATAGTAAGTGCTCAAAAAAGATGTCTGTTGCTGGCTGGGCGTGGTGGCTCACGCCTGTAATCCCAGCACTTTGGGAGGCCAAGGCAGGTGAATCACAAGGTCAGGAGTTCAAGACCAGTCTGGCCAACATGGTGAAACCCCGTCTCTACTAAAAATACAAAAATAATTAGCTGGGCATAGTGACAGGCACCTGTAATCCCAGGTACTCGGGAGGCTGAGGCAGGAGAATCGCTTAAACCTGGGAGGCAGAGGTTGCAGTGAGCCGAGATCGTACCATTACACTCCAGCCCAGGCAACAGAGTGACTCTGTCTCAAAAATAAATAAATAAATAAATAAAAGATGTCTGCTGCTGTCAGCCTCACCATTATCATCACTATCATCTGACTTTTCCTTTGCACACTACATAGTTTCCCACTTTGGTGCCTTTACTGATGCTGTTCCCTTTCCCTTCCTCCACACAGGTCCAAATTTCAGTCAGGCTTTGCATATTTTCACTGCCACTCTCTAGTCATCGTGCATAATTACATAGTCATGCAGAAGGCAGGTGACAGTAATAATCAGTGGCATGCATTAGTGCCCACAGATGCCAGCCCAGTGTCTGGCCTCCGGGAGGTGGGATGAGGTCTGTTCTGGGCTGGGAATCCAGCACCGAGCCCGCCTCCCACATCCTCCCACGAGCACCTGCTTGCAGAGTTCCTCCTCAACCTCGATCTCTTCTTCATCCTCATCATCCTCTTCCTCTTCATCACCCTCAAAGCAACCCACAGCGTCCACTGTAATGAAGTGGTCCTCATCTTGGCCACCAATCTCCTTCTCAAGTGACTTCAGCTGCCCAGGGAGTAGGCAAGGGGCTCAGGTCAGCTCTGAACAGCCAAGGGGCCATGCCCTACCCACCCCACCCCTCCCCTGGGAGTCTCGATCCCTCCAGACTTGCTGTAAGTTTGGGCTGAGAAAAACCTCAGCTTGCTGCATGGCCTTGGCCAAGGCTCTGTACCTCTCTGGGCCCATGTCCTCTGAGGGAGCTTGGGTTACCTCCTTGGCTTTGTCCTTATGCCCCTGGGACTTCACGTGCTCCACAAACTTGCGAGGGGTTTTGAAGTAGCGGTTGCAAACGGTGCAGAAGGGTCGCAAGGATTGTTTGGCGATCTGGAAAAAGGCAGGCCGACCAAGCAGTGTCCCCAGGTGCAAGCCCCCTGACTAGCACCCAGGCGGGGCCCGGCAAAAGCTCACCTCCCCTGGGCAGGCCCACCATGTCTGTAACAAGCTGGGCTGTGCTCCACCCCTGCACTGGAACGTGGGCAAACACATCTCTTCGTGGTGTGGGTGGCTGAGACATGCCATGGCAGATGGCAACACAGAGACAGGACAGACACAGAGAGAAGACGAGAGAGAGGGCAGCCGCCCAAATAACCCATGAGCCCCCATGGCTGAATGGCAGGGTGAGATGGTACCTGGCCTACACTGGACAGATGGGGAACCTGAAGCCCGAAGAAGAAACAAGACTGACTCATCCAGAAACTGCATTGTGGGTTATGCGGGTGCAGGGGCAAAGAGGAACGTTTACTTTCTTACTGGGGCTCTGTGTTGCTTGGCCTCCGCTTGGAGACGGCAGAGCGGGTGCCTCTGCAGCGTGCAGGCCCTCCTACCTTGTGGTCCTGTGTCCTGCGGTGTTGGATCAGGTCCCCCACGTAGTAGAGCTGGCAGGTGTTACACCAGCGCCTTGGTGGAGGCTCCCTGAATGACAACAGTCAAAGCAAGTACAATGTGAAACCAGAAAGACAGCAGCTGTCCGAGAGTGCTCCGTAAGTGTCATGCCATTCCAATAGCAATTCCCACAGGATCTCTTAGGGAAGCTTAACACACCGGTTCTGGGCCGGGCGCGGTGGCTCAAGCCTGTAATCCCAGCACTTTGGGAGGCCGAGGCGGGCGGATCACGAGGTCAGGAGATCGAGACCATGCTGGCTAACACGGTGAAACCCCGTCTCTACTAAAAATACAAAAAACTAGCTGGGCGAGGTGGCGGGCGCCTGTAGTCCCAGCTACTCGGGAGGCTGAGGCAGGAGAATGGCGTTAACCCAGGAGGCGGAGCTTGCAGTGAGCCGAGATCGCGCCACTGCACTCCAGCCTGGGTGACAGAGCAAGACTCTGTCTCAAAAAAAAATAAAATAAAATAAAAATAAAAATAAAAAAACACACACCGGTTCTGAGGTTCACCTAGATGAGTACTTAAGCAGAAATAACCCAGGAAACTTTAGGGGGAAGGGGAATGAAGCACTGGGGATGCCAACCTTTAAAATGAAAACCACAAGCTACAATAGATAAAACTGTGTAGTGTGATGTACATCCTGACAGTGTTATCAATGGGAAAGAATGGAAAGGCCTAACCAGGTTCAAATATTGGTAAGAATTCAGCTTCGCCAGCCTGGGCAACATGGCGAAACCCCTTCTCTAGCAAAAATACAAAAAATTAGCCAGGCATGGTGGCTCATGCACCTGTGGTCCCGGATACTCAGGAGGCTGGGGTGGGACAATTACTTGAGCCTGGGAGGCAGAAGTTGCAGTGAACTAAGATAGTGCCACTGCACTCCAACCTGGGTGACAGAGTGAGACCCCCATCTCAAAAAAAAGAATTCAGCTTCTGATAAATTGGTATTGAAAAGCATAGGTTATACAACAAGTTATGTCAGAACAATTTATTGTCTACTTGGAGAAGAAAGGCCTTCTGCTTCCACCTTCCACCTTACTTGAAAATGAATTCTAGCTGAACTACCAGAGAGTCAGGCATAAAAATAAAAACCATACACTTTAAAAAAGGGAGGCCAGGCACAATGGCTCACACCTGTAATCCCAGTCCTCAAGGCAGGAGGACTATTGGCGCCCAGGAGTTTGAGACCAACCTGAGCAACATAGCAAGACCCCATCTCTATGAAACATAAAAAACATTAGCTGGATTTGGTGGTACATGCCTATAGTCCTAGCTACTCAGAAGCTGAGGGGGGAGGATTGCTTGAGCCCAGGAGGTGGAGGCTGTAGGGAACCATGACTGTGCCATTGCACTCTAGCTGGGGCAACACAAGACACTGTCTCCAAAATAAATAATAAATAAATAAAAAGGGGGCCAGGCACAGTGGCTCATGCCTATAATCCCAGCACTTTGGGAGGCTGAGGAAGGAGGATCGCTTGAGCCCAGAAGTCCAACACCAGCCTAAGCAACATAGTGAGATCTTGTCTCTATATAAAATAAAATTAGGCATGGTGGTGTGGGAGACGGAGGTTGCAGTGAGCCGAGATCGCGCCACTGCACTCCAGTCTGGGCAACAGTTAAGACACTGTCTCAAAAAAAAAAAAAAAAAAAAAAAAGGTTTCTGAATCAGTGAAAATAAGGACTCTCTATAAAATATGCAAGTACACAATTTTTTCATAAATTTTAGGGGGCACATAACCCCCCTGTCCACTGAGAAAGCGCTGTAAGAGCTCTACTGGGGAGGGCTGCTTAGAGACAGAAAGTGTTCGTGTTGTCATGTAGCATGAATCTGATTTTTATTTTTAAAGATTGTATAAATCCAGAAAGGATCACAAGAAGAACTAGGTCAAAATGTAAGCAGTGTTTATCTCTGGGTAATGGGATTATGGGTGATTTTTTATCTTCTTGTGTGTCTGTGTCCTTGTATTTTCAAAACATTATATAACGAGCGAATTATTTTTACAATCAGAAAAAAAATTTTTTTAGTCAAAAAAGGCACATCAGTCACACAGTGAGAGTACCAGGTTTTAGGTTTTAGGATTTAGGGACACTTAACTGTCCTCAGTAAAATCTTCTTAATACTGCTGCAAGCAACAAAATCACTTTAAAGCAGCTTGCTCCAGAGGGCAGCACTGCTGTGGAATTTTCCTTTTAAACAGTTTTGTAAAGTTTGCTTTTTTTTTTTTTTTTTTTTAAGAGATGGAGTCTCGCACTGTCATCCAGGCTGGAGTGCAGTGGCATGATCAAGGCTTACTGCAGCCTCCACCTCCTGGGCTCAAGCAGTCCTCCCACCTCAGCCTCCTAAGTAGCTGGGACTACAAGTGCACGCCACCAGGCCTGGCTAATTTTTTATAGTTTATAGAGGCACAGGTCTCAGGATGGGCTGGTCTTGGACTCCTAAACTCAAGCAATACCCCCACCTCAGCCTCCCAAAGTGCTGGGATTATAGGTGTGAGCCACCACGCCAGTCTGGCTCTATTTTTTTAATGTGCATTTTGATCTCTGTGAGAGAAAAACACAATAAATGAAGAAAGGGGGTGGGGAGAGAACATGGTCATCAAACAGGCGGACACCTTGTGCCAGTGTCATGTCTGAGGCTGCCCAGAAATGGCCAAAGAAGGTCGGGCATGGTGGTTCACACCTGTAATCCCAGCACTTTGGGAGGCCAAGGCAGGCAGATCACGAGGTCAGGAGATCAAGATCATCCTGGCTAACATGGAGAAACCCCATCTCTACTAAAAATACAAAAAATTAGCTGGGCATGGTGGTGGGCGCCCGTAGACCCAGATACTCGGGAGACTGAGGCAGGAGAATGGCGTGAACCCGGGAGGCGGAGTGTGCAGTGAGCTGAGATTGCACCACTGCACTCCAGCCTGAGCAACAGAGCAAGACTCCGTCTCAAAAAAAAAAAAAAAAAAAGGCCAAGATTGGGAGATCACATGAGGCCAGCAGTTCAAGACCAACCTGGGGCAACGTGGTGAAACCCCATCTCTACTAAAAATACAAAAATTAGCCGGGCATGGTGGCACACCTGTAATCCCAGCTACTTGGGAGGCTGAGGCATGAGAATTGCTTGAACCCGGAAGCGGAGGTTGCAGTGAGCCATGATCATGCCACTACACTCTAGCCTGGGTGACACAGTGTGACTCTGTCTCAAGAAAAAAAAAAAAAAAAAAAGAAAAATGGCTACGGGAGGCAAGGGCTTATTTCACAGCACCTGCTCTGTGGGCTTTGAGGAGGGAGGAGACGGGCACCCCCCCAGCTAGGGTATTGGGATCCAGCCTTCAGCCCCATTCCTGAGAACACGCCCCTGCCTTCCACGGGGAAATGTATTTCCATGTGATTTGGGTAGAGCTGGCCTGCCTAGGCCTAGCCAGTCAGAACGCCCCATCCCTGGCCAGCGGATTGCTTCAGAAACGTGCACATGACCACAACCAAATTAACCAGCATTTCCCCTAGCAACTGTTCTGCTACTGCAGACACAGGTGACTGCCGTTCCTCGGAGGTCACTGTGCAGGGAGGCTGGGGCTGTGGGTACCTGGTGCCCACTGTAGTAAGAGATGGAGCCTCTCTAAGAAATGGTATCCCCTGGGTCCAGCTGTATCTCTTGCCTTTCCACTTACCTAAGCCAGAAACGTTGCTCCTTTTTGCTCAAGCTAATTTCTGTCTTACAGAAATTAGAATTTTTGTCACTTACAACCGCAAAGAACCGCCACTGATGCAGGAGGACAGTATTGATGTCTTTGTGTTGGGGACTAAAGTGAGGTGGTCGTAGGTAGGGACTGGAGGGACTTTTTACATTTTTGTTGTTGTTTTTGAGATGGAATCTCACTCTGTCACCCAGGTTGGAGTGCAGTGGTGTGATCTCAGCTCACTGCAACCTCCGCCCCCGGGTTCAAGCAATTCTGCCTCAGCCTCCCAAGTAGCTGGGATCACAGGCATGCACCACCATACCCAGCTAACTCTGTATTTTTAGTAGAGAAGGGGGTTCCACCATGTTGGCCAGGCTGGTCTTGAACTCCTGACCTCAGGTGATCTGCCCACGTCAGCTTCCCAGAGTGCTAGGATTACAAGCCCGAGCCACTGCACCTGACCATAATGTTCTTCATGGCCTCGGGGCCAAGTAGGATTCAAGAGAAGACTTCATGGAGAGAGATCATTGGGAGAGGGTTTGATAAATCCCCGACACCTGAAGTTTGTTAACAGCTTGTGCTAAGTATGTCTTTTTAGTTTTCTTCTGTGTCACAAGATCTATTTTTATACAAACAACTCATTCTGCAGATGCAATTTTGAATCCTGTTTTACTCTGACATTGCATCACCTTTCCACATTATTATAAATTCCCCAGTTATCCTATTTGTTCATTGTTCCATGAGCTGGGCGGGCTTTTTCACCATCTAACCAATCCCCTACTTTCGAGTATTTTAGATCAGTTCCCGTTAGCTTTTTTTACCATGATACTAATAGCAAAGAACGTCTTGGTGAGTCATCATTCTCCTGTGTTTATGATTATTTCACCCAAGTAGGAAACTCTTCTCAACGTGAGAAACAGCTAACAGAGACGCAGGCTGCAGGCAAGCGGAGGTCACCAAGAGTCCTTCCTGTCCCCTCAGCCCCACCTGGAAGCTTCAAATCGTGACCTCTGTAAAATCAGGACAGAGCCCATGACCACTGACTCAAGGGACTGTCCAGCCTATGAAAGTGTTTGATTTGCCCTCCACAGGGTTTGTTTTGTTTCAATTCTGAACTAGCTGTTAACATTTTGAAATAGGGAGATTTTACCTACAAACCTGGATTTCTGGATTCTTCCTAAAACTAAGAGATCTGGAGCTGGGAAGCAGCTGTCTCATGAGACAGAGCCTGTGTCCCAGCTGTTGCCCTAGCTAACATGGTCCTGCTGCTGAGATGACACGTCCCAGCCCTTGCACACCTTTACAACTGCCCACAGAGTCCTGAAAGCACCTCCGGCTGCCCGCCAGGCCTTCCCGCCCCGGTCTAGTTCCAGACCCCAGGAGGGCTGAAGTTTCTGATTAAACAGGCCCCCATGACAATGAAAGGGGGAGACACAGGGAAGCCCTAACCTCCAACTACAAAAGAACCTGATCCTCAGCCTTGTCACCCCACAGCGGGGTCAGCACATGTGCCGCAGGGGGCAGGGGTCTGTGCCACAATCTGTCCTCTCCCACAGGGATGGTCACACTGTCCCTGTCTAGAGGGAACCTTAAGAGACTGTCATGAATTCCTGTACTATATCCCTCACCAAGCCATATTACAGGCAGGGAAAACTAAGGTTCAAGGTCACACAGTTAACAGTGTGAGGAGGCCTGGCTGGCAGCGGCAATGCTTAATCCAAAGGTAGACCCTGTAGATGGCAGATTCAGGCCCTGGCTGACGAGACCACCTCCCCACAACGCAGAGCTTCCACGATCCCCCACTCACTCATCCTCTGTCTCCAGGACATCCCGGGGCACGGGCAGCAGGGACAGGAGGCAGGCTTGGCTCATGTGCTGGATCTCCCCTAGCCGCTGCTGGTGCTGAGGCTCCGACATGTGGTCCTGGAACTCCTGCAGCAGGAGGGAGTGAGGGATGGGCCTGGGGCGTGAGGCCGGAACAGTGGGCAAGGCTGGGGCCTCGGGAGGCAGACCCCAACCTCATCATTGTGAGCCCATTTCTCTCACCACACATTTCTCTCTTGTGTAGGCTAGAGCAGGCACGATAAACTGAGACACAGGGCACACGCCAGCCCAAGCTTCTGCCCCTCCCAGAGAATGTGTGAGTGCCTCAAAGACAAGGAGCATCCTGGTTAGCATCCAGGTCTCCAAGGCTCTGCCAGGTGAGGCACAGAGTAATAGCTCACAGCACAAAAGTAGTAATAATACAAGTACAATGCGATCATGATTACTGCTACACTCACTTTGGGCCAGGCCTGTGCTCAGGACTCCAATGTCACGTTGGTAACTCCCCAGAACCACCCAGTGAGGTAGATTCTAAACGTTTCTTTCTTTTCTTTTTTTTTTTTTTTTTGAGACAGAGTCTTGCTCTGTCACCTAGGCTGGAGTACAGTGGCATGATCTCGGCTCACTGCAACCTCTGCCTCCTGGATTCTCCTGCCTCAGCCTCCTGAGTAGCTAGGATTACAGACGCACGCCACCACATATTTTTAGTAGAGATGGGGTTTCACCATGTTGGTCAGGCTGGTCTCAAACTCCTGACCTCGTGATCCAACCACCTCGGCCTTCCAAAGTGCTGGGATTACAGGCGTGAGCCACCATGCCGGACCGTAAACTTTCCTTCGTTTGATGTAAGAGGAAATAGGAACGGGGTGGAATTCGCTTTCCAAGGTCCCCCAGCTACTCAGAGCCGATATGAACCAGGTCTGCCTGACTCTAAAAACCTGCTTGAGCCCAAGAGGTAGAGGCTGCAGTGAGCTGAGATGATGCCACTGCATTCCAACCTGGGAGACAGAGTAAGACCCTGTCTCGAAACAAAAAACAAAAAAACAAAACCACCAAAACCTGCCTTCTTGGCTGGTCAGGAAATGTTTCCCAAGCAAATGCATGGCTGCTGGAGGCAGGGCCCAGGGCAGCCTGAGGCAGCCTCGGGAGGGCAGGCTGCGCACTCCACACAGGCCCCACCCCTCCCCGCCCTTATCTCCTGTATCAGTACCTGCTGGCTGGAGCAGCTGGCCTTGCAGATGTAGCAGAAGAACTGGAGGGCCTGCTTTGAGGGAGTGCTGGTAGCTGCAGGGGTGGAGGAGGCGGAGTCACTGGGGCGGGGCACAGGTGTCAGGGGTACAGTGCTAAAGGCCCGGCTGTCACTGCTCTGCAGAATGGTGACCTTCAGGGAGCCCCCAGCGCCCCATACCTGCATGGGGAGTAGAAACTGAGCTTCTACCAACTGTGTACTTACAGTGGGCCAGCCCAGCATTTGACATCTACCAACATTGTCTCATCAGATCTTCCTGACAATGGGGAAACTGAGGCTCTGAGCTGTTAGGTGACCACCCCAGCTTACACAGCTAGAAAGCACTGCAGTCAGGATGCGTACCCAGGTTGGCCTAGAGTACCACCCGTCCCACCCCTTGTATGACAGATGGGGAAACAGACTCATAGAAGGGAAAGGGTTTGCCCACAGTTATGCAGAGCTGGGACCCAAACCCCACAGAGAGGCTTCCACTCTGTGCTCTCTCCATGAGGGCAACATTACCCATGCAAGACCGGGGCTCTTGCTTGGGGATGGGCAAGCTGGAAGGGATGGATGTGACGACAGCACAACAGCAAGAAGGTCCCATGCAGACCACTGTCAAGCCCAGCCTGGTCTGTCCCCCCATCCTAGGCAGAGGGCTGTCATCCCATTTCACAGTGGGGGAAACACAAGGAGGCCCTGAGGTGGCCTGGGGCAGAAAGAGGTCATCCCACCCTGCTGGGCTCTGTGGCCCTCACACTGCCACATCAGGGCCTCTACCCACCCCTGGCATCTCTCTTGCTCTGTTTTCACATTCTCCCACATCTAGGCCACTGGCCGACTCCTTCTGGATCTCTTCCATGCTGACTTGGGTGCCCACAGGCTCCGGCAAGGTCTTTTCCATGTCTGAAATGACAGATGTGCTCTGTTTCCCAGAGTGCATCTCCCACCCCAGGCCCAAGAGCTGTTTTCTCCGTCCGCAGCCAGAACCTTGAGGCCCCCAGCATGGATGATCCTGGACCTGGGTTCCGGGCCTAGCCATCAGTCCCAGGCAGCACCCAGTTAGGGGAGAAATGAAGGGTCTGGGCAGAGCTGTTCCATCACCAGACCAGCTGGAAGCCAGTGCTCACTTACCTCCACCAGCTTCTACTGTATCAGGTGGCATCTCCAACCCGCAGACATGAACCACAACCGGTGTTTGCTCTGGAGCCAGCACCGACACCTGTGGCTGGGTCTGAGGCTGCTCATGGGTTTGCTCTGGTGGCTGTACTGGCACCTGCACTGGAGGCTGCTCCTGCGGCTGGACCCTTGGCTGTGCTTGTGTGTGGACCTGTGGATACGTCTGTGTCTGGGCCTGCTTCTGCAGCTGCAGGTGCACCTGCCTTGGGGGCTGGGAACGTGCCTGGGGCCGCAGCCGCTTCTGCAGCTCTGCCTCCTGCTGCAGCTGCACCTGCCTTGGGGCCTGTGAATGTGCCTGTGGCTGTACCTGTGGCTTCATCTGCTTCTGTGGCTCTGCCTCCTGCTGCAGCTGTGGCTGCACCTGCTTCTGTTGCAGCACTAAGTGCTCAGGAGAGGTCTGTGTTTGTGCCTGCTTCTGCAGCTTTGGCTGCACCTGGGCGTCTGTGGGTGGTATCCGTGGCTGAGTCTGTGACTGCACCTGGGCCTGGATCTGCAGGACCCGTGGCTGGAATCGTGGCAGCACTTGGGCTTCCAGGGGCTCAGGCAGCAGGTCTGGTGTCTGTGTCTGTTTCGGTACTGTCATCCGGGCCTGTGGCTGGGCCTTCGCCTGTAGCTGCCCTGGAGGTTCCTTCTCTGTGGGTTCTTCTGAGCTAGGAAGGATCAAAAGAAAATCCCAGTCATGTCTTCAAAGAGGCCCCAGGGGCTCCCAAGGAAGGCCAAAACTAGGCTGAGCATGGTGGCTCCCATCTGTAATCCCAGCATTTTGGGAGGCTGAGGCAGGTGGATCATTTGAGGTCAGGAGTTCGAGACCAGTCTAGCCAATGTGGTGAAACCTGGGATTACAGGTATGAGCCACCATGCCCAGCCCAAGACTGTTTCTTTTTTGTTTTTGTTGTTGTTGTTATTTGTTTTTTTTTTTTTCTGAGATGGAGTTTAGCTCTTGTTGCCCAGGCTGGAGTGCAATGGCATGATCTCGGTTTATTGCAACCTCTGCCTCCTGGGTTCAAGCAATTCTCCTGCCTTAGCCTCCTGAGTAGCTGGGATTACAGGTATGCACCACCACACCCGGCTAATTTTGTATTTTTAGTAGAGAAGGGGTTTCTCCATGTTGGTCAGGCTGGTCTCAAACTCCCGACTGCAGGTGATCCACCCACCTCAGCCTCCCAAAGTGCTGGGATTACAGGTGTGAGCTACCGCACGCAGCCCAAGACTCAGTTTCTAATGCTGGCTCTACCACTTACAGGCTGGGGAACCCCCTCTGCCACTGCCACTGCCACTCCTGCCTTTGCAGGGCACCCAGGCCCAGGTCAGGTCTTCAGCATTAGTTACCTCCTCAACCTCTTGGCTGGCGGCTCGGACACCTCACAAGGCTCAGGCTCAGGTGCTGCAGTGCATTTTTCCTTGGCAATGTCCTCTGGGCAGGGTGGTAAATCTTGGTCTGGAATGCAGGCATGAGCGAGGGAACTCAGATGTTGAGGAGAGCATCTCTGACCTCCATGAGATAGGGACTGGGCTCCCCACCTTCCCACCAAGAACCCCAGCCTCCCACACCTGCCTCTATCACCTGCTGACCCGCCCACCGGCCCCGCCCCATCCATGTCCCTCTGAAGGGCCAGCAGCCTCCCTCCCTCACCTTCTGGTGTGTCCATCCCGGGCTCTGCGGCTTCCTCAGACCCCTCAGGGGGGTCTGACTTGTCTTCCACAGGCATTGTCTGAGAAGAAGAATCCTGCTTCCTTTCAGAAACTATGTTGACATCCGATATCCACCCCTATCAGTACCCCCTTGCCCAAGGGCAGCTGCCCCCATCCTCCAGGGGATGATAGGCCCCAAGGACCTCTGGTGGGCCTGGCCCCAGAGCTGCCGAGTGGATGATCTTAGTAAAAATGTCCTGGCAATGGTGTCTAGGGGACTCTACCTAGTTGTCTGTTAAATAAACCCAGGTTTGGAGGACATGAAGCCTTCTCCTGGCCATGGTGCTACCTCCTGACCTGACTTCCCACCCAGTTTTCCATGAAGTAGCCAGTGGGGTCCTTGTTTTTTTTTTTTTTTTGAGACAGAGTTTCACTCTTGTGGCCGAGGCTGGAATGCAATAGCACAATCCTGCAACCTCCGCCTCCTGGGTTCAAGCGATTCTCCTGCCTTAGCCTCCCAAGTAGCTGGGATTACAGGCGCACGCCACCACACCTGCCTAATTTTTGTATTTTTAGTAGAGTTGGAGATTCATCATGTTGGTCCGGCTGGTCTCAAACTCCTGACCTCAGATGATCTGCCCGCCTCGGCCTCCCAAAGTACTGGGATTACAGGCATGAGCCACCGCACCTGGCCCAGTGGGGTCCTTCTAAAATGCAAACCCGATCATGTCTCTTCTTTCAGGCTTAAAGCCCTCCCATGGCTTCCCGCAGCCCTGGTGCGTGCCTTACGCCAAGCCTGAAAACTCTGCACACCCACCCCTTCCCTGTACAACCTGGCCTCTGCACACTCCCTGCCCCAGCCATGCCCCGGCAACCAGCCCTCTCTGCTTATCTCCCTTGGCCTTCTCTCTGGTCATGCCCCAGGCCCGTCCCTGACCCCAGGTTTTCACTTAGAGCCTCTCGCAGGAAACCCTCCTGACTCCAGAATGGGTCCAGAACCCACTTCCTTTTCGTGGCATTTCTGTATTCTTTTTTTTTCTTTTTCTTCTTCTTCCTTAGAGCCAGGGTCTCACTGTGTTTCCCAGGCTGGTCTCAAACTCCTGGGCTCAAGTGATCCTCCTGCCTTGGCCTTCCATAGTGCTGGGATTACAGGCACGAGTCGTCGCACCTGGCCTCCACAGTCTTAATTAATTGGTTGGAGCATTATTTGCATTAATATCTCTCACCGCCCTCCCCATTCCTGTCTAAGACCTCAGGGAGGGCCAGGCCAGATACATCATCTGCACCAGGGAGTCCCTTGCAGGGACTTCCAGATGTCTGCTAAATGAACACACAGCTCTCTCTGGCCAGTTCCAAGGCACCCCCAGGAGGCCACCAGAAGCCTGCAACCTCCCTCTCTCCTTCCCTCCCTCCTGCTAAGCCCAAGGAATGAGCACTGAGCAGTGAATGGCAATCTGGACACATCAGGACTCTGCCCTTCAGAAACTACCCTGAAACTACCTGCATGACACAGGCACCAGGCTGAGAGTCAGGACGCCTGGGCTCTGGGTCCACCTCGACAGCTGTGGGACTCAGGACCACCCCCACCCCAATCTCTGAGCCTGGGTTTTTCCATACGTGAAAAAATGAGGGCAGGACAGGTTAGACACTAGACCAGATCTGTGATAACCGGCCCGTTGGAAGGTTGGAGGCGGGGCCGCTCGCTGGAGGAAAAGGCCTCACCTCCAGAAGTGGCATTGCCTCTGCCCTGGAATGCACCCAGGAGCAGTGTGTGAGGGAGGAGCTGCGGGGACCTTCAGGGACAGGACAGTCTAGGGAGGAGGTGAGCCCTTTGCAGATCTCCTGCTTATGCCAGGAAAAAGGTAAACACCTCTCAAACACACAAGGAGCCAGGGGGCTGCGGGCTGGAACCTACAGCCGGCAACAGTGCATAGCTTAGGATTTTATAGCATTGTTCTACCCCAGTTACATTTCCTACACTTTGTTTGTTTGTTTGAGACGGAGTCTCACTCTGTTGCCCAGGCTGCAGTGCATGATCTTGGCTGACTGCAGCCTCTGTCTTCTAGGTTCAAACGATTCTCCTACCTCAGCCTTCCTGAGTAGCTGGGATTATAGGCACCCACCACTAGGGCCCAGCTAATTTTTATTAGAGATGGGGTTTCACCATGTTGGCCAGGCTGGTCTCAAACTCCTGACCTCAAACAATCTGCCCTCCTCAGCCTCCCAAAGTGTTGGGATTACAGGCGTGAAGCACTGCACCCAGCAATTTCTTATACTTCTGTGAATGGCAATTAACTTAGATAGTTTTTAGAATGTCAGGTTATGATATGTTTCCTTTCAAAACAAATGTAACAGAAAGGAAGTTCACTCATTCAAAGCCATGCTCTCCCACACAGTCTCCCCACAGCCTCGGGAGAGCAGTTGAAACTGGCCGGGCTGGCCGGGCGCGGTGGCTCAAGCCTGTAATCCCAGCACTTTGGGAGGCCCAGACCGGTGGATCACGAGGTCAGGAGATCGAGACCATCCTGGCTAACATGGTAAAACCCCGTCTCTACTAAAAAAAAATACAAAAAACTAGCCGGGCGAGGTGGCGGGCACCTGTAGTCCCAGCTACTCGGGAGGCTGAGGCAGGAGAATGGCGTGAACCCGGGAGGCGGAGCTTGCAGTGAGCTGAGATCGGGCCACTGCACTCCAGCCTGGGCGACAGAGCGAGACTCCGTCTCAAAAAAAAAAAAAAAAAAAAAAGCTGGAGCTTGCAGTGTGAGCTGAGATCGGGCCACTGCACTCCAGCCTGGGCAACAGAGTGAGACTCTGTCTCAAAAAAAAAAAAAAAACGAAATTGGCCGGAAGTTGAATTGAGAGGTCAGTATCAGATACACACCAGATTGTGAAGATTTCGTAGTTTTTAAAAAAGGAATGTAAAAAGTTTCATTTTTTATATTGATGACAGGTCGAAATAATAGTTTCACATGGGATTGGGTTAAATAAGTTAGTAATATTAATTTAGCCCATTTCTTTTTACTTTATAATGTGGTTACCAGAAAATTTTAAATTACATATATGGCTTGTATTTTATTTCTACTGAGCAGTGCTGAATTATTATTTTTTTTTTCTTTTGAGACAGGGTCTCACTTTGTTACCCAGGCTGTAGTACAGCAGTATGATCGTAATTCACTGCAGCCTCTAACTCCTGGCCTCAAGCAAACCTCCCACCTCAGCCTCCCAAGTCCCTGGCATTACAGGCATGCACCATCATGCCCTGATAATTTTATTTTTAATTATTAATTTTTTGAGACAGAGTTTCACTCTTGTTCACCAGGCTGGAGTGCAGTGGTACAATCTTGGCTCACTGCAACCTCCACCTCCTGGGTTCAAGCAATTCTTCTGCCTCAGCCTCCTGAGTAGTCAGGATTACAGGCATGCACCACCATGCCCGGCGACATTTTTGTATTTTTAGTACAGAAGGGGTTTCGCCATATTGGCCAGGCTGGTTTCAAACCTCTGACCTCAGGTGATCCACCCACCACGTCCTCCTAAAGTGCTGGGATTACAGGCATGAGACCCCGGGCCCAGCCACACCGATAATTTTAAAAGAAACATTAAGCTGGGCACAGTGGCTCACGCCTGTAATCCCAGCACTTTGGGAGGCTGAGGCAGGTGGATCACCTGAGGTCAGGAGTTTGAGACCAGCCTGACTAACATGGAGAAACCCCATCTCCACTAAAAATACAAAATTAGCCGGGCGTGGTGGCGCATGCCTGTAATCCCAGCTACTCGGGAGGCTGAGGCAGGAGAATCGCTTCAACCCGGGAAACAGAGGTTTCAGTGAGCCGAGATCGCACCATTGTATTTCAGCCTGGGCAACAAGAGCGAAACTTTGTCTCAAAAAGAGAAACATTAAGTAAATGGTAGCATTTGTGCATGGCAAAAATCCCTTCAGTGATACAAGAATCTTTGAAGTTTGGGAAACACTAAACAAGTCCATTCCTGCCCCCTCATTTTACAGATGAGGAAACTGACGAATAAAGGGAGTGTGACCTGTTCGAAGGCCCAGGCTGAGCCAGAGCGGGTGGCACTGGGGCTGACACCCAGGGTCCCCTCCCGCCCACTCCCATCCCCACCTGACCCACCCCAGCCATCACTCACCTTTCGATTAGGGGTGGTAGAGGAGGAGGTCCGGGCCTGTTTCTGGGTGTTCCGTCCTGAAAGGTTGAACTGGGAGGGGTTCATGGGGACCCCAACAGGAGGAGGTCCCAGCAAGGACTGGCGAGTGGCCTGGGGAAAGAACTGTTGCAAATTTGGAGTGGCCAGTTGGGGGGGTGTGAGGCTGGGGGTTGTCAGGCTGGGGGCTGCGAGGCCTGGGGATGCCATGCCGTAGCCTCGGAGGTTACCTGCAGGCAAGAAGTGAGGAGAAGAGGGGTCACACTGTGGTCAGGTAGCAGAAGGGAGGGTCAGGCGTCAGTGCCCCAGAGCATCATGGGAACATCCCAGATAATTGAAAGGGACCTTCCCACCCAAGGGCAGCTGAAGGGAAGAGACTAGAGCTGAGGCTGAGTCTCGCCTTGGGCACTGGTGGTGAAGGAGGATTTAGGGCTTTTTTCTGCCCCAGCTAGGGGTGGGGGTGCTGCCTTTAGCATTCCCCAAAACCCTGCTCACCCTCAGGCATGCTTTAGAGTCTGCCATAGAGTAGGTGAGAAACTTAGCACAGCCCATAGGGAGAACCAGCAGGAGGGCTGGTCCCTGGGATAACAGGACACCCACCCCTATCCCCACCGGCTACCCTTTATCAGCAGCAACTATGAGCCAGGCACTGTGCTAAGCCCATTCCTCACACTGCCTCAGTCCCTCGGCCCAACAGGTATCAGGGTGGGTGTTACTTCTCCCGATGACAAAACAGAGACAGAGTGGAGGTACAGCTTGCCCAGGGTCTCTATGAGGGGCACCGCCATCCACCTACTGCCCCAGCCAGGATTCTGGGGTCTTCATTCCTCCCTCTCTCTGCCCTATCCCATGCAAGCCATCCCCAGATCCTATCAACTCTGTCTCCTATGCCTCTTCCCAATCTGACTTTCCCGCTCCATCCCCACTCCCACTTCCTGCCTCCTCCCAAATCCGCTTGATCCTTTGCCTGAATTCCAGCCACAGCTTTTGCACAGGATGGCGGCAGTCATCTTTCTCAAACCATATTCGAAGTTCATCTCTCCCTTCTGCCCAAACACTTCCATAGCTCCCTGCTGCTGGGCAGCAAAGCCCATTCCTCACTGCATGGTCTGGCCCTTCCCACCTTTCCAATCTCCTTTCTTGCCATTCTCCCCACATGTCCCCACTATATTCTAGTCACGTGTCCCTGTGCAGTCCTTCAGACATCCTGCCTCAGGGCCTTTGAATGTGCTGTTCCCTCTGCCTGGGCTGTTACACCTGCTGACTCTCATTCACCCTTCAGACCTCCCTATAGGTGTCTCTCCTCCAAGAGACCTTCGCAGACTGTGTCCCCAAAGGCCCCAGCTTCCAGTTCTAGGACGAGCTACATACTTTCCTTGTCTGCTTTTTTTGTTTTGTTTTTGAGAGGGATTCTTGCTCTATTGTCCAGTCTGGAGTGCAGTGGTGCGATCTTGGCTCACTGCAACCTCCACCTCCCAGATTCAAGTGATTCTCCTGCCTCAGCCTCCCAAGTAGCTGGGACTATAGACACCCACCACCATGCCTGGCTAATTTTTGGATTTTTAGTAGAGACAGGATTTCACCATGTTGGCCGGCTGGTCTCAAACTCCTGACCTCAGGGTGATGTGCCCACCTGGGCCTCCCAAAGTGCTGGGATTACAGATGTGAGTCACCTCATCCAGCTCCTTGTCTGCTTTCTGCTTCACATCATCTAACTCAGCTCTGTACCTCAGGGGAGGCTCAGAGCTTGGGAAGTATTTAAGGGATGAAAGGCAGTTGGAACTCTTGCCCCAGTGCTGGGATGGAAAGCACAGTGGTTAAAGCCTAAAGCGTGGGTCAGCTGTGCTGTGAGTGCCAGGTTCAAATCCAGACTCTACAGTACGAGCTCTGTGACCTTGAACAAATCAGTTCCCCCTGCTTAGCCTGATTTCCCTGATCTGTAAAATGGGGATAATAATTGCACCTGCCTCACAATGTTTTATGAGGATTCAATGAAATATACAAATGTGCCTGGTACATAGTAAATGTTCAATTAACATTAACTTGAAACAAATACATATATACATATATGCAAGGAGCCAACCCAGCTCTTAAAAACAATAAGACAAAAGATGAAACAACCTAAAAGAAAAATGAACAAAGGACATGGACAAGTCACAAAAAGAAATAAAATGTTCAACAGACAAATATAAAATGTTCAACTGCACTAGCACTCCAAGAAATGTCAATTAAAACATTCATGACATAGCTTCTTTTTGCCAACCAACTTAATTATATGTATATATACGTTTATATATATATATATATAAAAAGCATATAATACCCAGTGTTGCCGTGGGCATGGTGAGACCGGCAGTGTCATACGTGGCTGGTGGCATTGCAAACTGGTCCAGTCCTTTAGGAAAGCAATTTGGCAATACTTATCAAGAGCCATAAAACATCCATCCCCCCTCACTCAGTGAGAAAACACTCTCAAACATCATATTCATCCCAGGGTTACTTAAAACAGCAAAAAAAAAAAAACCCAAAACAAAACAAAACAAAAAATTAAAAAAAGCAAAAGAAAGAAAAAAGCAAAAAAAAAAAAAAAAAAAAAAGGAAAGAGCCAAACAGCTAAGAAGGTTTAGATAAACAAAGGCATAGCCCTCTGGTGCAATATTAAACAGTTATTAAAAATAATCTTAACACAGATGATCAAATCCTATGGTAAACGATCATGCCATTCTATTCAGTGAAAAAGAAACAAGGTACAGCCTGGGACTTATATCAATCACCATCATCAGATACAAATCCCCACGTCTGTGCCTAGAAGAAAAATGGGATGAAACAGACAAATATGCTGACTGATGGTTTTCTTCAGGTGGTGAGTGAGTCAACAGATGACACTGCGGGTTTTCCTATCCCCACTTTTAACATTTTTCCCCACTTTAAAGAGTGTGATTTTTATTCTTGTGTTTGTTTTTGAGAAAGGGTCTTGCTGTGTTGCCCAGGCTGATCTTGAACTCCTGGCCTCAAACAAACCTCCTGCCTTGGCCTCCCAAAGAGTTGGGATTACAGGCATGTGCCACTGCACCTGGTCAAGGGTGTGATTTGTTTTCTTTTTTTTTTTTTTTTTTTTTTTTTTTTGAGACGGAGTCTCGCTCTGTCGCGCGGGCTGGAGTGCAGTGGCCGGATCTCAGCTCACTGCAAGCTCTGCCTCCTGGGTTTACGCCATTCTTCTGCCTCAGCCTCCCGAGTAGCTGGGACTACAGGCGCCCGCCACCTCGCCCAGCTAGTTTTTTGTATTTTTTAGTAGAGACGGGGTTTCACCAGGTTAGCCAGGATGGTCTCGATCTCCTGACCTTGTGATCCGCCCGACTCGGCCTCCCAAAGTGCTGGGATTACAGGCTTGAGCCACTGCACCCGGCCGATTTGTTTTCTTTTTTTTTCTTTTTTTGAGACAGGGTCTTGCTCTGTCACCCAGGCTGGAATGCAGTGATGCAATTTTGGCTCACTGCAACCTCCGCCTCCTGGGTTCAAGCAATTCTCATGCCTCAGCCTCCTGAGTAGCTGGGATTACAGGTGCACGCCACCACACCCAACTAATTTTTGTATTTTTCTTTTTTCTTTTTTTGAAACAGGGTCTTGCTCTGTCACTGGGCTGGAGCGTGATCTCGGCTCAACACAACCTCCACCTCCCGGGTTCAAGCAATTCTCCTGCCTCAGCCTCCCGAGTAGCTGGGACTACAGGCACACACCATCACACTCAGTTAATTTTGTATTTTTAGTAGAGACGGGGTTTCACCATGTGAGCAAGGATGGTCTCGATCTCCTGACCTTGTGATTCGCCCACCTTGGCCTCCCAAAGTGCTGGGATTACAGGTGTGAGCCACCACAGCTGGCCTAACTTTTGTATTTTTAATAGAGACAGAGTTTCACCATGTTGCCCAAGCTGTTCTTGAACTCCTAGACTCATGTGATCCTCCAACCTTGGCCTCCCGAAGTGCTGGGATTACAGGCGTGAGCCACAGCCCATGGCCGAAGACTGTAATTTTTTAAACGGGAAAGAAGAAAAGGAAAATGTATATGTTTATCTGGCAGGTCCCTGTGTGTGGTTCTCTCCCTACCTACCTGCTTATCATTTTTAAGTCAGTTCCCAGGACCGTCCATATGTGGACCTCACAGGTCCACAGAGTGACCACCATCTAATCAATACCGACTTGTTATGTAATCTTGGGCACATGACCCCCCCTCTGGGCCTCAGTCTTTGTGTCTGTAAAATGGGATTGTGGTTGTACCTCTCTTTAGGGGGTTATCAGTAGAATCAGGAGCAGCATCTTGGCTGGGCACAGTGGCTCACACCTGTAATCACAGCACTTTGGGAGGCCAAGGCGGGTGGATCACCTGAGGTCGGGAGTTCAAGACTAGCCTGGCCAACATGGGGAAACCCCGTCTCTATTAAAAATACAAAAATTAGCTGGGCGTAGTCATGGGCACCTGTAATCCCAGCTACTCCGGAGGCTAAGGCAGGAGAATTGCTTGGACCGGACGCAGGAGGCGGAGGTTGCAGTGAGCCAAGATCGCACCATTGCACTCCAGCCTGGGTGACAGAGCAAAACTCTGTCTCAAAAAAAAAAAAAAAAAAAAAAAAAGGAGCAGCATCTTGGAAGGAGGAGCTGAGACTGTTCTCCATATTGGGAAATTGAGACAAAGCCACAGGCTTAATGCACAGGGCTAGAGATAACCACTCAGATATCTGGATGGTCAAGAGGCCCAGGCGTCAGCCCAGCTTAGCCACTGCTGATGCAGGGCAAATGATTTCCCTTCTCAGCTTCCTCATCTGTCAAATGGCATCTAATCTGAATGCGAGTGAAGTGTGCTGAGTACTACCCAAAGAGCCAGCACCGCGGCCAAGGACACACTTCTGTGATCAGACAGATCTGCATTCAAATTAGCAGCTTAGGGACTTTCACCTCCTGGAGCCTCAGTGTCCTCATGAGTGAACTAGGATGCCAAGAATAGCTCCCTCTGAGGGTTGCTGTGTGGAGTTGAGATTTAGTGCAATGGGCTGCTAGGGAGCTACACTAAAAGAGACTGAGAAGAGGCCTGGGGCCATCCATACCTTGCAACTGCTGTAAAAGCAAAGCTCTCTGCAGCATGGAGCCGTTGAGGAGGGAGGCTGAGTTGGTGCCCTGGAGATTCAGAAGCGGCTGCTGTGGCTGCTGTGCGGGGAGGCCCCTGTGTGTTGGGAGGGGGTGTCAGAGGGTTATTTGGAAAGTCAGACTTTCCTTCCTCCCCAAGACTTTTCACCTCCATTCTCTGCCCCACTCTCTGGTAGACAGAGGACCCCTTGGGGTTGGAACGGGTGATCTCCAGGACTCAAATGGAGATGGCACTGGGAAAAAGGATGGGGATCAGGACCTCCGAGACATGGGTCTGAGTGGCAAGGCTGAAGCCATCGCCCCCGGAGGCGGAACTCACCGGCTCACAGTCATGGGCAAGGGGGCCTGTGGTGGAGACTGCTGGAGCAGCTGCTGGAGCTGCAGTAACTGCTGCTGCTGCAATTGCTGCTGCTGGAGCTGCTGCTGCTGTAACTGCTGGAGCTGCTGCTGCTGCTGCTGGTTGAACATGATGGCTAGGGGCAGAAAGCTGAGTAAGGCCAGGGGTCCCCACTACGGGTCAGGCCTGCTCCCCTTCCATCCACAGCTACTCTCCCAAGCCACGGCCCACGAGGAGCTTTCACAGATGCACTCCCAGTCCTGCCAAGAGCCTGCCACACTCGCTTGGCCCATCCTTCCAAGTTACCTCCAATCCTGCCAGGAGCAAGATTCAACCACCCTACTGCCACTGCCCCCCAGACACTGCCAACAGCCCCTCCTTCAAATCCCTCCCTCTCTCCATTTCTGGCGGCTCCATCCTCCCACACTCAGCCTCAGCCTCCCTCTGCGCCCATCACTTCCCCACTCACACCCCCTTTTCAATACCGCAACCCTCTCCCGGCCCCGGGTGTCAATAACATCGGGACCCGTCCAACCCCATCACCGTGGTCCTGAGCCCCGTGGGACGGCTTCTCCCCACCATCGCCACCTCCTCGAGCCCCACTCCGCCCGCTCCCACCCCGCCAGCCCCCTCCTCCGCAGACACAGCCAGCTCGCGCGCGGATCCCCACGATCCCGCCGCCCCCAGCCTCGCACCTCGCCTCCCCGCGCGCCCTCAACGCTCAAGTTGCCCCCACGGGTGGGCCGGCCGCCCAGCGCCCACGCTCCGGCCGGGCGGCTCCGGCCCACGGGCTCCCGGCCTCCCCGCGGCTTCTCCGCGGCCTGTGGGCTCGTAAGGCCCAAATATGGGCGGGGCCGGCCAGGGCAGCGCCCTCTGGGGGACGGGAGGTCCAGGCGCCACCAGCCGCGCCACTCGAGCCCGCCCAGTGCACCCGTCACGCTGCGGGGGCGGCTGCGGAGCGCGAGCAGGTGCCAGGGGGTCCTGGGCGGCGCACACCTTCCGAACCGCGTCCTCCGCATCGCGAAGGGAAGGCTAGGAGACCAAGGTCCGTCTGCCGCCCGGAAGGGTCAGCCATCCCGCAGGGGCATCGAGGGGGACTTCCAGAAGGACCTGTTCCCAACCGACCTCCCTGCGGCCGCCGCGGTCCTGCGATCCTGGGGCCCCGCGCGGGGCTGCGGTGGGAGAGGGCGCTCAGTTATCGGATGTACATTCATTCGAGGGACCCAGGCCAGGCGAGAGGACTGCCAAAGTCTTACAGTCCGGCAGGAGTTTGCCCACGGAGGGGTGGAGGGGGAGTCCACCTCAAAGTCCTTTCTCAGTAAATTTGGCTAAGGAAGGAATGGGTGAGGAGGGTAGAGTCCAATTATCAAAAAACAACCCTAGGGGCTGGGCGCGGTGGCTCCCGCCTGTAATCTCAGTACTCTGGGAGGCCGAGGCTGTAGGATCGATTGAGCCCAGAAGTTCGAGACCAGCCTGAGCAACACGGTGAAATCCCTCTCTACAAAAAATACAAACATTAGCCGGGCGTGGTGGCGGGCGTCTGTAGTCCCAGCTACTCAGAAGGCTAAGACAAAAGGATCACTTGAGCCCGGGAGGCACAGGCTGCAGTGAGCTGAGATCGCCCGGCTGCACTCCAGCCTGAGCCACAGAGCAAGAGCTGTCAAAAAAATAAATAGTCCGGGCGTGGTGGCCCACGCCTGTAATCCCCGCACTTTGGGAGGCCGAGGCGGGCGGATCACGAGGTCAAGAGATTGAGATCATCCTGGCCAACGTGGTGAAACCCCGTCTCTACTAAAAATACAAAAAAAAATTAGCCGGGCATGGTGGTGACTGCCTGTAGTCCCAGCTACTTGGGAGGCTGAGGCAGGAGAATTCCTTGAACCCGGGAGGCGGAGGTTGCAGTGAGCCGAGATCGCACCACTGCACTCCAGCCTGGCGACAGAGCGAGACTCCGTCTCAAAAAATAAATAAATAAATAAATATTTAAAAATAAAAATTTTAAAAAGAAAAGGAGAGACAAAGAGAGCCCTGCTCCCTCATCCTGCACCTAAAATGGTCCTGCCCCCAAGGACCCCTTTAACAACCACCGTATCCCCCGTCCCCGCGCCGTAACAATCCTTGGCTACTAAGTAGTAATTCTTTTATTTATTTTTTATTTTTTCGAGATGGAGTCTCACTCTGTCCTGCAGGCTGAAGTACAGTGGTGCCATCTGGGCTCACCGCAACCTCCGTCTCCGGGGTTCAAGTGGTCCCCCCGCCCTCAGCTTCCGGAATACCTAGGACTACAGGCGCGGGCCACCACTCCCGGCTAATTTTTGTATTTTTTAATAGAGACGGGGCTTCACCATGTTGGTCAGGCTAGTCTCGAACTCCTGAGCTCAAGTGATCCGCCTGCCTTGACCTCCCAAAGTGCTGGGATTACAGGGGTGAGCCACCTCTCCTGGACTAAGTAGCAGTTCAGCCTCCCTTCTCTGTGGCTCCCTGCCTTGCGCGTGTCACAGCCCGGCGACTCCTCGCCCAGCCTTCCGCGCCGGGTTGGGCCGGCAGGGCGCGCGGGGGCGCTGGCGGTGCGCAGACCAGAGCAGGCGGAGCGCGTTGACTGAGGGTGCTCGGGCAGTAGAACTTGCGTGTCCATAAATCACTGCAGTCATGTGACGAGCACCGCTCCAAAGCTCTAGACTGGCTCTGCTGCAGACGGTTGCGGCCGAGGAGCCTAACTCGGCCTGGACTAGCCGCGGAAGAGCTAGGACTTAGAGGCGCGAAAGTGACTCGGCGAGGCCGGAGCGCGGGGTGGCTTCCGGGGCCCGGGGGACGTCGGCGCTTATGGGTGAACAGGCAGCCTGGAGGGTGGGGACTTGGAACGCTGGGCTGAGGAGTAGGCTTTATCCCTTAAGGGTAGGGAGCACAGGGAAAAGGGTGTGAACCTCATGAGTGACAGCATCAAATCTGCCAATTAGAAAACCCGTTCCCGTGAAAACCAAGAGGGAAGCAGTGAGGAGAGGGGCGAGTCAAGACTGCCCAGGCTCTACTGGGCACAGTGGGTCACCCCTGTAATCCCAGCACTTTGGGAGCTCCAGGCGAGTGGATCACTTAAGGTCAGGAGTTCGAGACCAGCCTGGCCAACATGGTAAAACTACGTCTCTACTGAAAATACAAAAAATTAGCCGGGTGTGGTGGCGGGCGCCTGTAATCTCAGCTACTCGGGAGGCTGAGGCAGAAGAATCGCTTGAACCCAGGAGGCAGATGTTGCAGCCGAGATCACATCACTGCATTCCAGCCTGGATGACAGAGCAAGGCTCCATTTCAAAAAATAAAAATGAAAGACTGCTCAGGCTGCCAAGCAAGCACGTTGACACCTTGATCTGGGTGCTAGAGTTGGAGAAGTCCAGAATTAAATCGTGACTCCCCTGCCTTGTGGCTAAGTGACACTTGCTGGGGGAGAGGCCTCTTAGCTGGTTTCCTCCTTGGTGAAATGTGTGCCCCCTCCTGGGGTGGTAAGGATGACATTACATAATGCTTAGCACTGGCACCTGGCACAGAAGTAGCTTAACAAATTGCCAAAGTGAAAAAACTAAAAATAATGCTTGTGCTGGTGAAGGTGGAAAGCCAGCACTAACTTCCTGTGTTGGTTCATCTTTCTGGAAAGCAATTTGCAAATTTTATATCAAGAATCTTGGGCCGATGTGGTGGCTCACGCCTGTAATCCCAGCACTTTGGGAGGCCGAGGCGGGCGGATCACCTGAAGTCAGGAGTTAAAGACCAGCCTGGCCAACATGGTGAAACCCCATCTCTACTAAAAATAAACAAATTAGCCGGGCATGATGGCAGACACCTGTAATCCCAGCTACTCGGGAGGCTGAGGCAGGAGAATTGCTTGAACCCGGGAGCCAGAGGTTGCAGTGAGCCAAGATTGCACCATTGCACTCCAGCCTGGGTGACAAGAGCGAAACTCCATCTCAAAACAAAAACAAAAAAAAGGCCGGGCGCGGTGGCTCAAGCCTGTAATCCCAGCACTTTGGGAGGCCGAGACGGGCGGATCACGAGGTCAGGAGATCAAGACCATCCTGGCTAACACGGTGAAACCCCGTCTCTACTAAAAATACAAAAAACTAGCCGGGCGAGGTGGTGGGCGCCTGTAGTCCCAGCTACTCCGGAGGCTGAGGCAGGAGAATGGCGTAAACCCGGGAGGCGGAGCTTGCAGTGAGCTGAGACCCGGCCACTGCAGTCCAGCCCGGGATACAGAGCAAGACTCCGTCTCAAAAAAAAAAAAAAAAAAAAAAAAATCTTGCACATGTTTTCCCCTTTGACCCAGTAACACCACTTGTAGGAGTCTAGCCTAAGAAAATAATCAGAAATGAGACTTTTACAAGATAGCAGGTTGTTCATGGAAACATTTATATATTTTTTTCTTTTTTCTTTCTTTTTTTTTTTTTTTAAGACAGGGTCAGCTGGGCGCGGTGGCTTACGCCTGTAATTCCAGCACTTTGGGAGGCTAAGGTGCGTGGATCGCCTGAGGTCAGGAGTTTGAGACCGACCTGGCCAACGTAGTGAAACCCTGTCTTTACTAAAAATACAAAAAATTAGCTGGGTGTGGTGGTGGGCACCTGTAATCCCCGTTACTCAGGAGACTGAGGTAGGAGAATCGCTTGAACCTAGGAGGCAGAGGTTGCAGTGAGCCAAGTTCGTGCCATTGCACTCCGGCCTGGGAAACAAGAGCAAAACTCCATCTCAAAACAAAACCAAAAAAAGGAGGCCGGGCGCGGTGGCTCAAGCCTGTAATCCCAGCACTTTGGGAGGCCAAGGCGGGCGAATCACGAGGTCAGGAGATCGAGACCATCCTGGCTAACCTGGTGAAACCCCGTCTCTACTAAAAATACAAAAATAATTAGCTGGGCATAGTGGCAGGCACCTGTAGTCCCAGCTACTCGGGAGGCTGAGGCAGGAGAATGGCGTGAACCCGGGGGGCGGAGCTTGCAATGAGCCGAGATCGCACCACTGCACTCCAGCCTAGGGCACAGAGCAAGACTCCGTCTCAAAAAAAAAAAAAAAAAGAGACATGGTCTTGCTCTGTCTCCCAGTCTGGAGTGCAGTGGAACGATCACAGCTCACAGCTCACTGCAACCTTTCCCTCCCTGGCTCAATGGAGCCTCCTACCTCAGCCTCCTGAGCAGCTGGGACTACAGGCCCATGCCACCATGCCCAGCTAATTTTTGTATTTTTTTTTTAAAGACAGGGGTTTCACTATGTTGCCCGGGCTGGTCTTGAACTCATAGGCTCAAGTGATTCTCCTGCCATGGTTTCCCAAAGTGCTGAGATTACAGGTGTGAGCCACCACACTCAGCCAAAACATTATTTATAATAGCTGTCTGGAAAAGAATCAACTTTAGGGGAATAACTAAATAAGTCATGGTGTCACCTTTTTTTTTTTTTTTTTTTTTTTGGGACGGGGGTTTTGTCTGTGTCGCCCGGGGGGGAGTGCAGTGGCCGGATCTCAGCTCACTGCAAGCTCCGCCTCCCGGGTTTACGCCATTCTCCTGCCTCAGCCTCCCGAGTAGCTGGGACTACAGGCGCCGCCACCTCGCCCGACTAGTTTTTTGTATTTTTTAGTAGAAACGGGGTTTCACCGTGTTAGCCAGGATGGTCTCGATCTCCTGACCTCGTGATCCGCCCATCTCGGCCTCCCAAAGTGCTGGGATTACAGGCTTGAGCCACCGCGCCCGGCCCGGTGTCACCTTTTAAGGAACAGTGCACAGCCATCACAAATTATGTTTTCAAAGGATAAACACCCACAATAGGATGTGAAGTGAGCTCACCAGCTTATAAAATGCAGGCACATTACCATCCCAGGTGTGTAGTGGAGTGGACTCGTGTTTTTGTTTTGTTTTGTTTTTTTGAGACAGAGTTTTGCTCTGTCACCCCGGCTGGAGTGCAGTGATGCGATCTGGGCTCACTGCAGCCTCTGCCTCCTGGGTTTAAGTGATTCTTCTGCCTCAGCATCCTGAGTAGCTGAGACTACAGGCATGCGCCACCACACCTGGCTAATTTTTGTATTTTCTTTTTTTTTTTTTTTTTTTGAGACGGAGTCTCGCTCTGTCGCCCAGGCTGGAGTGCAGTGGCCGGATCTCAGCTCACTGCAAGCTCTGCCTCCTGGGTTCACACCATTCTCCTGCCTCAGCCTCCCGAGTAGCTGGGACTACAGGCGCCCGCCACCTTGCCCGGCTAGTTTTTTGTATTTTTTTAGTAGAGACGGGGTTTCACCAGGTTAGCCAGGATGGTCTCGATCTCCTGACATTGTGATCCGCCTGTCTCGGCCTCCCAAAGTGCTGGGATTACAGGCTTGAGCCACCATGCCCGGCCTAATTTTTGTATTTTCAATAGAGATGGGGTTTCACCATATTGACTAGGCTGGTCTGGAACTCCTGACCTCAAGTGATCTACCCACCTTGGCCTCCCAAAGTGCTAGGATTACAGGCGTGAGCCACTGTGCCAGGCCTTCCAGACCTATTCTGCTCCAGTACTTTATCTATCTATCCCTTCTCATGGACTCTATCTATCCCTTCTCATGATGATGCCATATACTTTGATGATTATAGCTTTAGAATATGTTTACCCCTGATAGTGCAAGCCCCTGACATTGTCATTCTTTAAAAAGTTTTTGCTAATTCCCAATTATGTATTGTTTTTTCAGATACTTTATAGAATTTTGTCAAACCTTCCCCAGCCTCTGAAATCCCACCAGAATTTTTGTTTGTTTTTGAGGCAGAGTCTCGCTCTCTCGCCCAAACTGGAGTGCAGTGGTGCAATCTTGGCTCACTGCAACCTCTGCCTCCTGGGTTTGAGTGATTCTTGTGTCTCAACTTCCCAAGTAGCTGGGAATACAGGCGTGCGCCACCACATCCAGCTAATTTTTTGTATTTTTAGTAGAGATGGGGTTTCACCATGTTGGCCAGGCTGGTCTCGAAATCCTGACTTCAGATGATCTGCCCTCCTTGGCCTCCCAAAGTGCTGGGATTACAGGCATGAGCCACCAAACCTGGACCTCATCAGAGTTTTGATTGATGTTGCACTAAATATGTTTAAATTGGAGAAAAACTAACATCTTTACCCCCGGTTTTTCAGTTTAAGAAGGAAGTAAATGGGCCAGGTGTTATGACTCACACCCATAATCCCAATACTTTGAGAGGCCAAGGTGGGAGGATTCCTTGAGCCCAGAAATTTGAGACCAGGCTGGACAATATAGGGAGATCACCGTCTCTACAAATAACTAAAAATTAGCTGGGCATGGTGGTGTGTGCCTGTAGTCTCAGCTACTTAGGAGGTTGAGGTAAGAGGATCACTTGAGCCAGAGAGGTCAAGTCTACAGTGAGCCATGATCGTGCCACTGCACTTCAGCCTTGGCAACAGAGCGAGACCCTGTCTCCAAAAAAAAAAAAAAAAAAAAAAAAAGGAAGAAGGAAGGAAGGAAGGAGAAAAGAATGAGGTGAATGTCTCATTTATTTATTTATTTATTTGATACAGTCTTGCTCTGTCTTCAGGCTGGAGTGCAGTAGCACGATCTCTGCTCAATGCAACTTCTGCCTCCCAGGTTCAAGCGATTCTCCTGCCTCAGCCTCCTGAGTAGCTGGGACTACAGGCGCGTGACACCACGCCCAGCTAATTTTTGTATTTTTAGTAGAGATGTGGTTTCACCATGTTAGCCAGGATGGTCTCGATCTCTTGACCTCGTGATCCCCCCGCCTCAGGCTTTCAAAGTGCTGAGATTACAGGCGTGAGCCACTGCGCCCGGCCGTAAACGTCTCTGTTTATTCAAGCCTTGCATTAAGTTATGGTTTCACAGGCCTCTTCACCTAGTACCTGAATGATTTCTATAGTAGTTGTTATTGCTATTTTCCCAGTACTCTTTCTAATTGGCTATTGACTATAGCTTCTTTATCTTGTAACCTACCACCTCCCCACCTTGCACTATTTCTGTCCTCAGCAATGTTGTGTGCCCATGATGGTAGAAAGCACATGCCAAGTTGTCCTCATGTCCTTGGGACCCAGCTCAGAACCCTGCACATCACAGGTCTGTGTGGTGAAGGCTGATTAAATTAGTGAATGATGAGTGAATGAATGGATTGCTTCAGGATGCAATTTCCTCCCTCTTTCCTCGGGTTAGTGTTCATCATAGTAGCCCTTCGTGCCTTTGATATCTGTGTCCATCACCCTACAGAGGCACGTTCCAGTGAGGCACCTAGCATAGGTCATAAGGTGGGCCCCCCCCACCACCAGATGCCCCAGCTCAGAATCCCTGGGAACAGGCTGTATTCGGCAACAGCTCCAAGTCAGACAAGAGGCAGAGAAATATATAAGACCATATGCTTATCACGTGGCCTCCCCAGTGGCTGTCGCCCACCTGTGCCTTTTCCTAAAAATAAATGGAATGTGAAAGGCAGAGGACAGAGGCAGGGAATAGCCAGATGGGCACGAGCTTGTTGCTGCCTCTACCTTCCAGGGGACCCCAGGGTAGGTCCTGACTTAGGGCTCTAGTTTGGCCATCTCTGCCAGACAGGACTGACTTGTGGATAACAGACTCTGTTTCCTTCCTTACCGCATCCAGCCACACCCTCTGCTACCTTCACAACACCAAAGAAGTTTCTTTGTACAGTGCAATGGTGATGATGGTTATAATGACACTATTTGTAGCTCTCATTATTCACAGTTCCAGGCATTGTTGGATGATTTACCTAAGTTGTTATTACATTACTGAACCTTCACACAATCCTATGAGTTAGGGGTTATTATAATCCTCCTTTTACAGATGAAGAAACTGAATCTTTGGAAGGTAAAATGACTTGCCCAAGGTCATCAGGTTAGAAAGTGACAGAGGTGGGATTTGAGCACCAGGCAGTCTGGCTTCAGACCTAACCATGGCATGATTAGCACACATGGGCACCTGCCCTGTTCCAGGCTCACGGGGAGCCCTTCAACAGGAGATGAGGTGGTGCAGGCACAGACGCCTGGACTGCCAGAGCCCCAAAGCCCATAGGAAATAATAGTGCCCAGCCTGCAACATGTAGAGAAGGCCCAGTCTGACCCAGCTGTTTCCTCAGCAGTGACCCTGCCCCAGGCTGTGCCAGGTGCCCTTGTTCCATGCACCTGGTCCCCTTAACCCCTCCCCTGTGACTCCCATTCCAGCAGGATGATCCCTGTATCTTATTAACCTCTTCATCCCCCTGTTGTCTTGCTGAGATCTGGCACAAAGTAGCCACTGATCCATACCTGTGGAAAAAATGAATGAATGAATGAATGGATGACTCCAAAGAGCCAGACCCTGAGCAGACTTAGTGACTAAATATAATGACTTGACCCTGGAGCTGTGTACTAAGGCCACTGCTCCATTCAACTGGCATTTATTGAGCACCTACTGTGTATGTATACAACACAAGCACTGTCAGAAAGGGATCATGTTTTGGCCAGGCATGGTGGCTCACGCCTGTAATCCCAGCACTTTGGGAGGCCAAGGCGGGCGGATCACAAGGTCAGGAGATCAAGACCATGGTCAACATGGTGAAACCCCACCTCTACTAAAATACAAAATATTAGTCAGGCGTGGTGGCGAGTGCCTGCAGTCCCAGTTACTTGGGAGGCTGAGACAGGGGAATTGCTTGAATCCAGGAAGCAGAGGTTGCAGTGAGCTGAGATTGCACCACTGCACTCCAGCCTGGCGATAGAGCAAGACTCCATCTCAAAAAAAAAGAAAAAAAAAGAAAGGGCTCATATTTTATTTTATGTGCACTAAAAATATGCATTCTCCACACAGCATCCCTGGGAGAAAACCATCGATTATCAGAACTGGCATAGTGTAGGATGTAAATATGGAAGCTCTGAGTCAAACTGACATCCGTCCACACCTTGACTCCATCATTTCTTGGCTATATGACCTCAGACATGTTCTTCACTAACCTCTCTGTGCCTCAGTTTCCTCATCTGTCAAAGGAGGCTAATAAAACTTCTTTCTCGGCAGGGCACGGTGGCTCACGCCTGTAATCCCAGCACTTTGGGAGGCCGAGATGGGTGGATCACCTGAGGTCAAGAGTTCAAGACCAGCCTGGCCAACATGGTGAAACCCCATCTCTACTAAAAATACAAAAATTAGCCGGGCATGGTGGCACGTGTCTGTAATCCCAGCTATTTGGGAGGCTGAGGCAGGAGAATCACTTGAACCTGGGAGGTGGAGGTTGCAGTGAGCTGAGACTGCGCCATTGCACTCCAGCCTGGGTGACAAAAGCAAAACTCCGTCTCAAAAAAAAACTTCTTTCTCAAGGTTGGGAGACAGTACAGGTGAATCCCTCAGCACAGTAAATGGGCTGGGAGGAAATGCCCAGTAAACACTCCTGCTGTTAATAATCTGCCCAGGGCTGGGCGCGGTGGCCCACATCTGTAATCTCAGCATGTTGAGAGGCCGAGGCGGGTGGGTAATTTGAGGCCAGGAGTTCAAAGCCAGCCTGGCCAACATGATGAAACCCCATCTGTACTAAAAACACAAAAATTAGCTGGGCGTAATGGTGGGCATCTGTAATCCCAGCTACTCAGGAGGCTGAAGCAGGAGAATTGCTTGAGCCCAGGAGGCAGAGGTTGTAGTGAGCAGAGATCACACCACTGCACTCCAGCTTGGAGCTGGAGCAAGACTCTGTCTCAAAAAAAAAAAAAAAAAATTCTGCCCAGCACAGTTGGTGGTCAAAACTTTGGGAGCTCAGCCACGTATGGTGGCTCACACCTATAGTGCCAGCACTTGAGGAGGCCAAAACAGTAGGATCATTTGAAGCCAGGAGTTCAAAACCAACCTGGGCGACAAAGCAAGATCCCATCTGTACAAAAAAAAATTGTTTTAACTAACTGGCCATGGTGGTGTGCACTTGTAGTTTCAGCTATTTGGGTGACTGAGGCAGGAAGCTCACTTGAGCCCAGGAGTTTGAGGCTACAGGGAGCTGCGATTATGCTCCTGTAGCTCAATTCAGCCTGGGCAGCTGAGCAAGGTTTATCTTATCTCTAAAAATAAACCAAAGAACAAAAAAAAGCTTTGGGAGCTCAAGAGAGAGTAAAGAAGCCATTTCTTTTCTTTTCTTTTCTTTTCTTTTTTTTTTTTTTTTTTTTTGAGAAGAAGTCTTTCTCTGTCACTCAGGCTGGAGTGCATGGCATGATCTCGGCTTGATGCAACCACCACCCCTGCCTCCCGGGTTCAAGCAATTCTCCCACTTCCAAGTACCTGGGATTACAGGCCAGGGCTACCATGCCCATCTAATTTTTGTGTATTCAGTAGAGACGGAGTTTTGCCATGTTGGACAGTCTGGTCTCGAACTCCTGGCCTCAAGTGATCCACCCGTCTTGGCCTCCCAAAGAGCTGGGATTACAGGCGTGGGCCACCGCATCTGGCCCTGAGATCCTTCTTTTCAACCAACTCTATGTGATACAGCAGCAGTATGGGATACTTAGTATGATCCCATTTCTGTAAAAACAAAATAGAACAAAATGAATATGTATATATATGAAAAACAAAGCCAGATAATAAAACCTAAGCTATAGTGGTTATCTCTAGGTGAGAGGATGACCAGAAGTTTTTAAATACTTGTGTAAAGTCTGGTTTTACAATAACTTTCAATATTGTAATTAGGGGGAAAAAAGTAAAAATAATAAAAGCTGGCTGGACATGGTGGTTCACAGCTATAATCCCAGCATTTTGGGAGGCCGAGGCGGGTAGATCATGAGGTCAGGAGTTTGAGACCAGCCTGGCCAAGATAGTGAAACCCCGTCTCTACTAAAAATACAAAAATTAGCTGGGCACGGTGGTGAGCGCCTGTAATCCCAGTTACTCAGGAGGTTGAGGCAGGAAAATTCCTTGAACCAGAGAGGGAGAGGTTGCAGTGAGCTGAGATCACACCACTGCACTCTAGCCTGAGTGACAGAGCAAGACTCCATCTCAAAAAGAAAGAAAGAAAGAAATACAAAAAATCAGCCGGGTGTGGTGGCACATGACTGTAGTCCCAGCTACTTGGGAGGCTGAGGCAGGAGAACCACTTGAACCCAGGAGGCGGAGGTTGCAGTGAGCTGAGATCGCGACACTGCACTCTAGCCTGGGAGACAGAGTGAGACTATGTCTCAAATAAATAAATAAATAAATAAATAAATTTTTTAAAAGGCTGGGTGCAGTGGCTCATGCCTGTAATCCCAACACTTTGGGAGGCTGAGGCAGGCAGATCACAAGGTCAAGAGATCGAGACCATCCCAGCCAACATGGTGAAACCCCGTCTCTACTAAAAATACAAAAATTGGCAGGGCATGGTGGCTCACACCTGTAATCCCAGCACTTTCGGAGGCAGAGGCGGGCAAATCATGAGGTCAGGAGATTGAGCCCATCCTGGCTAACACAGTGAAACCCTATCTCTACTAAAAATACAAAAAAATTAGCCAGGTGTGATGGCACGTGCCTGTAGTCCCAGCTACTTGGGAGGCTGAGGCAGGAGAATCGCTTGAACCCGGGAGATGGAGGTTGCAGTGAGCCAAGATTGTACCACTGCACTTCAGCCTGGGCAACAGAGCGAGATTCCATCTCAAAAAACAAACAAACAAACAAACAAAAAATACAAAAATTAGCTAGACGTGGTGGTGGCACATGCCTGTAGTCCCAGCTACTCGGGAGGCTGAGGCAGGAGAATCGCTTGAACCCAGGGGGCAGAGGTTGCAGTCAGCTGAGGTCATGCCACTGCACTCCAGCCTGGTGGCAGAGTGAGGCTCTGTCTCAAAAATAAATAAATAAATAAATAAATAATATTAAAAGCCCGCCATGATGCCCTCTAGGCGGACATCTATAAACTGCACCTCCTCCTGGTGCCACTCATCCAGGCTCCCATCTCTGCCTTCTTTTGTCCTCAGAGCATAATAACAGGTTGGCGTGGAACAGCTGCCAGGATGCAAGTTGTGTGGCACTGATGCTCCAGCTGTCTGGTGAGCTGTCATCATTGGCATCTTCACAGCTGCAGCTTAATAAGGGTTCCCTGAGCACCAGGCCTGGGCTGTGCCCTACACAGGCATTTGATCTATTATTATCCCCATTATCCAGATTAGTTAACTGAGGTTCAGAGACGTGGAGGGACCTGGGTCATGCAGCTTGTTTAAGGCCCAGATTAGGCTCCTAATCCACTCCCTTGTGCTACTAGGGAGAGGGCCTGCTTGTTCCCCATGTCTGCCTTGAAGATTCCTCCCAAGGGTCACTCTCTGATCACCATCTTCACAATAGCAACACCACCCTACCCCGCCCCTGTTTTCTGACTCTGCAGGGCACACCATCTAACAGGGCCATCGGTACTGCCCTATTTGCATATTGTCTGTCTTTTTCCACTGAATTGTCAGCCACATGTGGGTAAGAACTTTGTCCATTTTGCTCACTGCTTTATCTCTGGAGTCTAGCATAGTACCTGGCTCAACAAATACGCATTAAATGGATGAGTAAGTGAACAGTCTTCAATTCACAGACCACTTTGTCAGCAGTGCCCCCACACTGTTCACAGCACAGGGAAGTGACTCACTGACTCCCTATAAGCACAGTGTAGGCTAGCCTTCCCTTCCTAGCCTCCGCCATGAATACTAATTAGGTTTCTTAAATGCAGAGGTGGATGGCTGGGCTCAGGGCCCCATGGTCTCTCCGTGTGAAAGGGTAAGCAGGGCAGGATTGTAGGAGCCTTGGATTTGAATCCCACTGCTTTTATTTTATTATTATTTTTTTTTTTTGAGACGGAGTCTCGCCCTGTCGCCCAGGCTGGAGTGCAGTGGCGCGATCTCGGCTCACTGCAAGCTCCGCCTCCCGGGTTCACGCCATTCTACTGCCTCAGCCTCCGGAGTAGCTGGGACCACAGACGCCCGCCACCTCGCCCGGCTAATTTTTTGTATTTTTAGTAGAGATGGGGTTTCGCCGTGTTAGCCAGGTGATCTCCCGACCTCGTGATCCGCCCGCCTCGGCCTCCCAAAGTGCTGAGATTACAGGCGTGAGCCACCGCGCTCGGCCGAATCCCACCGTTTTATGCTGTTTTACCACCAGCCTGATGGGCTGGAGCAAAGACTTCCAACTCTAGGGCAAGAGCTTCCAATTCTCCCAAGAAGGGCCTTTCAGGCGTCAGGGCCTCTGCTCTTGCTGGTCATTCAGCCTGGCATGCTCTTCCCCCGATCTGCTTGCTGCTGGCTCCTTCTCATCGTTCTGGTCTCTTCTTAAATGTCACTTCTGCAGAGAAGTCCCCCGACTCCTCCCAAGTCAATGTGAACTTTGCACACCCACAATGATACCTTTTTTCACACTGTTTATTTCCTCCATCCCTCTTACTATAAACTATTTTCTTTTTTTTTTTTTTTTTTTTTTTTTTTTTTTGATGGGGTTTCGCCGTGTTAGCCAGGTGATCTCCCGACCTCGTGAT